CTTCTTAAACATTATATGCCTTTAGAAAGTAAACAAGAAAGTGGGTTTCCCACCCTGACTTAATACAGGTTTCCTTCTCATCTAACACCTGAGTAAGTAGAAAGTTAAAAGGTAAGGTGGAAAAATAAAAAAATAAAAGGTAAGGTGATTGGATATATTATTAAAAAATGAATGGGCACAGAGAATTTTCCTCACATTTGGATCAGAGAATCTTTTAAACAACACCCAGAGTTCTTTGCCAACTTTCTGTTTGTTTGTTTAGCATCATTATTGAGATGTAATTCACGCACCATACAATTTACCCATTTAAAGTGTACAATTAAATGGTATAGTCACAGTTGTGTACACTCCACAGTCAACTTTAAAATATTTTTGAAAGAATATTCAAGAAAGAAACCCCATATCCCTCCTTCTCCCACCCACAGTCCTAGGCAGCCACTAGGCCTTGTGTGTCTATAGGTTTGCCTCTTCTGGACATTTCATTTAAATGGAATCATACAGTATGAAGGCCTTTGTGACTGGCTTCTTTCACTGAGCATGTTTTCAAAGTTCATCCATGTGGCACAGATCAATACTTCATTCCCTTCTATTGCAGAATAGATCCCTTTGTATGTATTGATATATAACACACTTTAAGTTCAGTTCAGTTCAGTTGCTCAGTCATGTTCGATTCTTTGCGACCCCATGGACTGTAGCACTCCAGGCTTCCCTGTCCATCACCAACTCGTGGAGCTTGATCAAACTCATGTCCATTGGGTCAGTGATGCCATTCAACCATCTTATTCTCTGTTCCCCGCTTCTCCTCCTCCCTTCAATCTTTACCAGCATCAGGGTCTTTTCCAGTGAGTCATTTCTTTGCATCAGGTGGCCAAAGTATTAGAGTTTCAGCTTCAACATCAGTCCTTCCAATGAATATTCAGGACTGATTTCCTTTAGTATTGACTGGTTTGATTTCCTTGCAGTCCAGGGGATTCTCAAGAGTCTTCTCTAACACCACAGTTCAAAAGCATCAATTCTTCGGCACTCAGCTTTCCTTGTAATCCAACTCTCACATCCATACATGAGTACTGGAAAAACCATAGCTTTGACTAGACAGACCTTTGTTGGCAGAGTAATATCTTAGCTTCTTAATATGCTGTCTAAGTTGGTCATAGTTTTTCTTCCAAGGAGAAAGCATCTTTTAATTTCATGGTTGGAGTCACCACCAGTGATTTTGGAGCCCCCCAAAATGAAGTCTGTCACTGTTTCCATTGTTTCCCCATCTATCTTCCATGAAGTAATGGGACTGAAAGCTGTGATCTTAGTTTTCTGAATGTTGAGTTTTAAGCCAACTTTTTCACTCTCCTCTTTCTCTATCATCAAGAGGCTCTTTAGTTCTTCACTTTCTGCCAAAAGGGTGGTGTCATCTGCATATCTGAGGTTATTGATATTTCTCCCAGCATTCTTGATTTCCAGCTTGTCGTTCATTCAGCCTGGCATTTCTCATGATGTACTCTGCATAGAAGTTAAATAAGCAGGGTGACAATGTACAGCCTTGACATACTCCTTTATCTATTTGGAACCAGTCTGTTGTTCCATGTCCAGTTCTAACTGTTGCTTCTTGACCTGCATACAGATTTCTCAGGAGGCAGATAAGATGGTCTGATATCCCCATCTCTTTAATGATTTTCCATAGTCTGTTGTGATCCACACAGACAAAGGCTTTGGTGTAGTCAATAAAGCAGAAGTAGATGTTTTTCTGGATCTCTCATGCTTTTTCGATGATCCATCGGATGTTGGCAGTTTGATCTCTGGCTCCTCTGCCTTTTCTAAGTCCAGGTTGAACATCTGGAATTTCATAGTTCACATACTGTTGAAGCCTGGCTTGGAGAATTTTGAGCATTACTTTGCTAGCATGTGAGATGAGTGTAATTGTGCAGTAGTTTGAACGTTCTTTGGCATTGCGTTTCTTTAGGATTGGATTGAAAACTGACCTTTTCCAGTTCTGTGGCCACTGCTGAGTTTTCCAAATTTGCTGGCATATTGAGTACAGCACTTTCAAAGCATCATCTTTTAGGATTTGAAATAGCTCAACTGGAATTCCATCGCCTCCACTAGCTTTGTTTGTAGTGATGCTTCCTAAGGCTCACTTGACTTCTCATTCCAGGATGTCTGGCTCTAGGTGAGTGATCACACCATTGTTGTTATCTGGGTCATGAAGATCTTTTTTGTATAGTTCTTCTGGGTATTCTTGCCACCTCTTCTTAATAACTTCTGCTTCTGTTAGGTCCATACCATTTCTGTCCTTTATTGTGCCCATCTTTGCATGAAATGTTCCCTTGGTATCTCTAATTTTCTTGAAGAGATCTCTAGTCTTTCCCATTCTATTACTTTCCTCTATTTCTTTGCATTGATCACTAAGGAAGGCTTTCTTGTCTCTCCTTGCTGTTTTTTGGAACTCTGCATTCAGATGGGTTTATCTTTCCTTTCCTGTTTTGCCTTTAGCTTCTCTTCTTTTCTCAGCTATTTGTAAGGCCTCCTCAGACAACCATTTTGCCTTTTTGCATTTCTTTTTCTTGGGGATGGTCTTGATCACTGCCTGCTGTACAATGTCATGAACCTCTGTCCATAGTTCTTAAGGTACTCTATCTATCAGATCTAATCCCTTGAATCTACTTGTTACTTACACTGTATAATCACAAGGAATTTGATTTAGGTCATACCTGAATGGTCTAGTGGTTTTCCCTACTTTCTTCAATTTAAGTCTGAATTTGGCAATAAGGAGTTCATGATCTGAACCACAGTCAGGTCCCAGTCTTGTTTTTGCCGACTGTATAAGGCTTCTCCATCTTTGGCTGCAAAGAATATAATCAGTGTGATTTCGGTATTGACCATCTAGTGATGTCCACGTGTAGAGTCTTCTCTTGTGTTGTTGGAAGAGGGTGTTTACTATGACCAGTGCATTCTCTTGGCAGAACTCTGTTAGCCTTTGCCCTGCTTCATTTTGTACTCCAAGGCCAAATTTGCTTGTTACTCCAGGTATCTCTTGGCTTCCTACTTTTGCATTCCAGTCCCCTATAATGAAAAGGACATCTCTTTTGGGTGTTAGTTCTAGAAAGTCTTGTAGGTCTTCATAGAACCAGTCAACTTCAGCTTCTTCAGCATTAGTGGTAGGGGCATAGAGTTGGATTACTGTGATATTGAATGGTTTGCCTTGGAAACGGACAGAAATCATTCTGTTGATTTTGAGATTGCACCCAAGTACTGCATTTCAGACTTTTTTGTTGCCTATGATGGCTACTCCATTTCTTCTAAGGGATTCGTTTTTTTTTTTTCATTTATTTTTATTAGTTGGAGGCTAATTACTTTACAATATTGTAGTGGTTTTGGCCATACATTGACATGAATCAGCCATGGATTTACATGTGTTCCCCATCCTGATCCCCCCTCCCACATCCCTCCCCATCCCATCCCTCTGGGTCATCCCAGTGCACCAGCCCTGAGCCCTTGTCTCATGCATCCAACCTGGACTGGCGATCTGTTTCACACTTGATAATATACATGTTTCGATGCTATTCTCTCAGATCATCCCACCCTTGCCTTCTCCCACAGAGTCCAAAAGTCTGTTCTATACATCTGTGTCTCTTTTTCTGTCTTGCACATCATTACCATCTTTCTAAATTCCATATATTTGCGTCAGTATACTGTATTGGTGTTTATCTTTCTGGTTAATTCACTCTGTATAATGGGCTCCAGTTTTATCCATCTCATTAGAACTGATTCAAATGTATTCTTTTTAATGGCTGAGTAATATTCCATCGTGTATATGTACCACAGCTTTCTTATCCATTCGTCTGCTGATGGGCATCTAGGTTGCTTCCATGTCCTGGCTATTATAAACAGTGCTGCGATGAACATTCTTGCCCACAGTAGTAGATATAATGGTCATCTAAGTTAAATTTGCCCAATCCAGTCTGTTTTAGTTCACTAGTTCCTAAAATGTCCATGTTCACTCTTGCTATCCCCTGTTTGACCACTTCCAACTTACCTTGATTCATGGACCTGACATTCCATGTTCCTATGCAATCTTGTTCTTTACAGCATTGGACTTTACTTCCATCACCAGTTATGTCCACAACTGGGCATCATTTTTACTTTGGCTCCATCTCTTCATTCTCTCTGGAGTTATTTCTCTACTCTTCTCCAGTAACATATTGGGCGCCTATTGACCTGGGAGTTCATCTTTCAGTGTCATATCTTTTTGCCTTTTCATACTGTTCATGGGGTTCTCAAGGCAAAAATGCTGAAGTGGTTTGCCATTCCCTTCTCCAGTGGACCACATTTTGTCAGAACATCTTCTCCACCGTGACCCATCTGTCTTGGGTGGCCCTACATGGCATGGCTCATAGTTTTATTGAGTTAGACAAGGCTACAGTCCATGTGATCGGTTGTATGTAACACATTTTACTTTATCTATTCATCAGTTGATGGACATTTAAGTTGTTTCCATTCTAGCTATTATAAGCAATGATGAGCATCTGTTAAATAATTACTAGCTTTTACATAAACTCCTTTTAAGCGGTATGTATTCATTGCAGAAAACTGAAAAATCCTGAAGAATATAAAGACTTATAATAAAATTTATTCATAATCCCACCATTCAAAAGTAAGGTCTTTTTACAGATTTTTCAAAAATAAACTTTAATACTTTTTCCTGTGGGGGAAAAGTGTATATATGTTCATGTAGTTCATTAATTCCTCATTTCTTTTTAAGATTTACTCATTTGAGCAGATTTTGTCTGTAAAAATCATAGCAAATCTGGCCACTGCACTTATAATAATTTATAGATCATTATACAATGGGAGTAATCAAGTATCAGATGGGGAAGGAGGAGGGTTTAGAGAGAGTTTGATAGAAGAGGAAACACATATTTTGTGAATATGTGCATGAGTTTATGGTACTGATATCAATAAATAAAAACTTTGAGGTTTCTAATAAGGCCACATTTGTTCTGTTGTAGGAAGTTAGCAGGATGTACTGTCTTCATCACAGGTGCAAGCCGTGGCATTGGCAAAGCGATTGCTTTGAAAGCGGCCAAGGATGGAGCAAACATAGTCATTGCTGCGAAGACCGCCCAGGCGCACCCCAAACTTCCAGGCACCATCTATACTGCTGCTGAAGAAAGTATGTTTCAATAAATAAAGAGTCTGCTGGAAAGTTTAATTATATTTATCTGAAGTCTATCCTAAAAGTAATTTTATCTGGTTCAAGAAATGTTTTGTAACCTTAGAATGGTGTTTGGGGATCATTTTTCTCCCTAGCTTTTTTAAGTAATGGGAGCGATTTCCATTAAAAATCATATTTTATGAGGGCAGTGGTTCTTGAATGGGAGCAAGGAGCAGAGGAGTGGAAGCAGAGGAAAGAACTTAAGAGGTGGATGGTGTGAACGAAAAAACGCTCCATGTTACCTGTTCTTTGCATAATTTGCAAGTCATTATTTTAATACTTTCAGGTCACAAATAGTTATTTTTTTGTTTTAAATAAGTTTATTTACTTTTAATTGAAGGATAATTGCTTTACAGTACTGTGTTGGTTTCTCCCATACATCATCATGAATTAGCCATAGATATACATATGCGCTCTTCCTCTTGAGCCTCCCTTCCATGTCCCACCCCATCCTACCCCTCTAGGTTGTTACTGAGCCCAGGGAACACAAATAGTTACTGAGTGCTTATATTCAAGGCACTGTGCTAGGAGTGAGGGCTTAAAAATTCAGCTTCAGCTGATATGCTAGTTTTGTTAGTTATGTTAATAGTACTGTGGTTATGTTAAGGGAATACATATGAAGCAATTATGAATGAAATGATGCCTGGGATTTGTTTTGAAATAGACCAGCAACAAACCAAACAGAACTGACGGTAGATAAATTTACTGCGAAACATTATCAATCATTGAAGATAGTTGATGGATTCATGATAGCTCATTATACTCTTCTTTATATTTCTGTACATTTTTAGAAATTTTCCGTAGTAAACATCTTTTAAATTACCTTCCCCCCTTATTTCTTTTTAATAGCGTTTTTAAAAATTGCCCTCTTTTTTGTTTGTTTTTAAATAGAGTTGACCTGGCCAGTTTGTAGATGGCTATGAATTCAGTCTGTCCTACAGTAGGACAGAGTTGCTAGCAGTTGGAAGACATAGTTATTTATATTGATTTTCTGAAAATGGGGTACTTTTTCCTTTTGACTCATGTCAGAGGTTTGGTATTGATGAAAGTTTTAACATTTGAATGCATCTTTATTTATCCTTTGTAGTCAAAGCAGCTGGAGGAAAGGCCTTGCCATGTATCGTTGATGTGAGAGATGAAGAGCAAATCAGCAGTGCTGTGGAGAAGGCAGTGGAAAAATTTGGAGGTAGTGCTTTCATTCTGAGATAATTATTGAATATTGGAAAAGTATCGGTATAGCTATCGTTTTAATTTTTAACTTTCTTTTGATATTTTTACTCTCTAAGTCTTCAGAGTATAGCCAGAAATAAGTATTTGTTCCTACAGAAGCACAGCTTAAAACCATCTGATGAGTAATTGAATAATTGTTAAAGATTATTTTTAATGTAATCAGTCTCCCATCCAAGGTAAAGTTAAGACCTTGACCATAACATATGCACCGGGACCCACCCACTTGTCTTCATGTAACCTATTATCTGGTGACTTTTTAATATTTATTGAGTAAAGTGCAGATTAGCTATTGGCTTTCAAGATATTTCTCATTCTGATGTTAACAGACTTGTTTTGGCTCCATCTTCTTTCTATACGCCTGTGTAAACTCCCTAATCCAGCCAAAAGAGTTTGCTTCCATTTCTTCACCTTAATTTTTTTTTTTGCCTCTTCACCTTTTCTCTTCCCTTCTTGAAGCTCCTCCAGTGCTCACGCCTCCACCTCTGACCCTTCCTGAAATGATCCCTTCTTTGTCGTTTGAAATTTTTGTGCTTAAAGCTCATCTGCTTAATGAAGCCAATTTCCCGACTATGCCAAGTAATCAGAAATGTACATTTTTTCTTTCTCTGAATTCCTAAAACATTCCTTTGGTCCTCTTCTTGTAAAACTTCAGATCTTAGTGTTTTTTTCTTTTCCCCCAATTAATTCATAATCTCCTAGAAGGCAAGTATTGGGAGTTGAACTAAGACTTTGATGGTATCGTAGCTTGGAATCTAGCTGTGTCCAGATGCTGTGCAAACCATTACCATTCTCTTCTTATAATATTCCAGAGAATATTATTATATTCTTATAATATTCTATGTATATGCAGAGGATATTGGGGAACAGGTAATGCTTTATTAGCAAGTCTCATGCTTTTAACCTAATGCAGAGTGCTGTATTCTTCTGGACTGGAGCACAAAGCTTTGACTCAAATGGGATCTCTTCCTTTAAATTCAAAATCTTACCCCTGTCTGGCAACTTTTCCCAAAGTAATGTGAATGCCCCTGAGAGAAGAGGAGAGAGAATGCAAAATTACTGGGTGTTTTTTTTTTTTTCTTCTTCTTCTTACTGATAGAGCCCAAAATAGGAAGGAAGAAGGAGAAGAAGCCACATTCAAATGCAGGACCTTTATCTAAAATGACTTCTACCTACTAGGAAAAGTGACCAATTAGTGCCAAATTAGGATTTAACCTAATTAGTTTAGCCACTCATTGTTAGGGAGGAATTAAGGGATAAAGTGGTGAGGGTAGAAGAATAGAGCGTTTCCTTTCTGTATATTCATCCAGTTTTAGTTCTTTCCATTGATCCATTGGCTCTGTCAACTGAGAGTGAGTTTATCCTTTTTGGAGACCGAGATCATCACAGTTTAGGGGAGGACTGCTACCACCTTTGTCTGCGCCCTTTCTCAGTCTTAGTTCCTGTCCTCTAATTCTGTTAGAGAACATGAACAGTTCAGTTGTTGTCTGGTGTTGTCCCAAGAAATCTCTGAAATGGGTCAAGATGGACATTAATTATAGATACTGAAGGCCTGTATAGATACAGAAATCACCTCTGTTTTAACTTCCTATCTTGAATTCTAGCTGTGTTGTCTGATCTGCTTCACCAGAAGGGGTTACACATTGTGTATTAGTGACAGCATAGTCCGAAAATATGCACCTGAGTGTCAAAATGTGAAGACCTCCACTTTCCAGGTTGGGGCTCTTACAGAGTAGCTGGCATCTCACAAGTTTATTTCTTCTCCTGTTGTTGCCACAGAGAATTTGAAGAGCCAAACTGAAATCTCTTTCTTGGAAGAATTAAAGCCCAAAAATCTGTCCTCTCCAATTTCCTAACTTTGTTTTGTCCCAGCCAAGGAAGTTTCACTCAGATGCATGGGTGGTCTTGATTGGTTTAGCCACCGTGGCTTAGATTGTCTTCCATTGAACCTGGCGTGATTCCTTCAGCATCTTCAGTGCAGGATTGATCCAGCTTTATCTGTCAAGTGATCTACTTTCCCAGGAACAGACAGAGAAAAATGAAAGGGACAAAAACAAATCTTGTTTTTTGTTTCTTCAGAAGCCAGTTGATCCATATTAATTGACTTGGCATTCATGTCCTGGAACTTAGCTGAGTTGGTAGAAATCTTCAGCCAAGAAGATATGCTTTGGACTTCCCTGGTGGTCCAGTGGTGAGGAGTTTGCCTTCCAATGCAGGGAATGCAGGTTCAGTCCTTGGTCAGGGAGCTACGGTTCCATATGCCTCGCAGCCAAAAAACCAAAACATGAATCAAGCAGTGTGGTAAGAAGTTCAGTGAAGACTGTAAAAAAAGAGAGAAGATATACTTTTCATATCTTTGGAGGAAGAAAATCTGCCAATGCATTTTACTACTTCTTGTTGAGATGGGCATCTGAAAGACTTATGTTTTCTTGCTAAAAGTGCAAATTGGTGGTGGAGTTACCTCTCTTTTGGAATCTTCCCTAACATTTCCTTCCCTCCTCTTTAGGATCTACATTGATGTATTTAAAATATTTTGCTTTCCATTTGCCCATGAACTTCTGCTTTTCTGGCATAACGATGCAGAATCTTAGTTCTTTGGTGAGCTCTGCTCAGCAACTCAGCTGCTGCTACCTCCTAATCAGGTTGGGTGTCACACTTATGAGATGATTCATGGCCTGCTCTTTACTTCTCTCTGTATTTTTTTCCCCTAGATCTTTTAAGGCTGTATTTTTTGTTTGTTTGGTTTCAGTTCCATACTGTGGTTGCTGCTGTTATGGTGTGGTTTGGAGTTATGTAGGCCTTTGAAGTCTGCGTTTTAGAGAAGACTTTACCTTTCTCCTAACTTTTCTCTCTGCCAGGGAATTACCCTTAACAAAGTCCTGAGCAGTGGATGATGCTTTCAGACCTGTGGCCCTCAGGGACTCCGCCACATGGTACTGCCTCTCACCTTGCCTGCCTTCATCTTCAGAGTTTTTAGGTCTTGAGTAGATTATGCTATTTCATAAACCACAGATATAATCATCCCTGCCATCTTTTTTTCTGCAGCAGGCATACATACATGCCTTTTCTTCCGTATCATTTTTTACCATTTTGCCCTGATTCATTAAAAAAAAATTTTTTTTTTGGCTGCACCATGTGGCATGTGGAATCTTAGTTCCCCAACCAGGGACTGAACCTGTTCCCCTTGCATTGGAAGCCTGGAGCCTTAACCACTGGACAACCAGGGAAGTCCCATCCCTGATTTGTTAGCTTGGTGCAAAAGTAATTATGGTTTCAGACCGTGAATCCTTACTAATCAAAACAGGAACCATTACAATCAACACAATTTTGCCAACAAGAAATAAGTTTGTTTATTCCTATAGTATAAAAACCCATGCTTTGGGATTCAGCAAACTCTTGGAAAGCATTTTCTTCATCCTGCTGGTTGTAGAAGCATTTCCCCAGCAAAATGTTGTTGAGATGCTTGAAGAAGTGATAGTCGGCTAGAGGACAAGTGAATATGGCAGATGAGGCAAAACTTTGTAGCCCAGTTCATTTAACTTTTCAAACGTTGGTTGTGCTATGTGCAGCCAGGTGTTGTGAAAGAGAATTGGGCCCTTTCTGTTGACCTGTGCTGGCTGCAGTCGTTGCAGTTTTCTGTGCATCTCGTCGATTTGCTGAGCTTATTTCTCAGATGTAATGGTTTCACTGGGATTCAAAAAGCTGTAGTGGACCAGGCTTGTAGCAGACCACCAAACAGTGACCATGACCCTTTTTCTGGTGCAGGTTTGGCTTTGGGAAGTGCTTTGGAGCTTCTTTCCGGTTCAGCCACTGAGCTGGTCGTGGCCAGTTGTATAAAATCCACTTTTTGTCACGTCACAATCTAATGGAGAAATTGTTTGTTGTTGTTGCATACAATAAGAGAAGACAGGACTTAAATGATTTTTTTGATTTGTGGTCAGCTCATGAGGCACCCATTTATCAAGCTTTTTCATTTTCACATCTCCAATTTGCTTCAACTGCCAAATGACCACAGAAATGGTTGACACTGAGTTCTTGGGCAACTTCTCGTGTAGTTGTAAGAGGACCAGCTTCAATCATCCTCTCAATTGGTCATTGTCAACTTCTGATGGTTGGCCACTTCTCATCTTCAAGGGTCTCATCTCCTTTGCAAAACTTCTTGAACCACCACTGCACTGAACGTTCATTAGTAGTTCCTAGGCCAAATGCATTGTTGATGTGAGTTGTCTCTGCTGGTTTATGACCCATTTTGAACTTACATAAGAAAATCTCTTGAGTTTTCCTTTTTGTCTAACATTTCCATAGTCTAAAATACATATAAAATAAACAGCAAGTAATAATTCATTAGCAAGAAATGTGCATTAAAATGATGTATAACATAACCACATTTATTTAAGAATGTATTTCAGTATCAAATGGCAAAGGGCAACAATACAAAACCTAAATTACTTTTGCACCAACCTAATGTTTTAATTTGGCTCATCTGAGTCTAAAAATTTTGGTACCTCTTAATTGGACCCAATTTTTTTTTTTCTTTATCATTGGCAAGTCAGATCCAGTTTGCACAATCAGTGTAGCTTTAGTCCTTATCTACTTTCATTTGCTTTGGGGCCCACTAGAGGATTTATTTGGCAAAAACAGAACTGTATTCAGCAATATGAAACTGAACATTATTTTTCATACAAAGTTAAAAGCACACTGTATTTCCTTTCTGACCACTTGCCGAGTCCCCATCTCTTTGAGAGATAAAGCTTCATCTAAATTATTTCATCTGATTATTGATTGTCATTTAAAACTTTATTGCTATTTCAGTCTCAGGTATTCCTTTGGAAAAAGTGTATGGATTCATTACATGTTCTAATGTATTGTCTATGGATTATAAGATAAAGTCAAGCATGTGTCTGCTAATACTTTTTAAGTTGACCTGTCTTTAAACTTAGAAATGCCTCTTACTAGTAGGCTTCCCTGGTGGCCCAGATGATAAAGAATTAGATGATAAAGATAAAGGTCTGCCTGCAATGCAGGAGACCCATGTTCTATTCCTGGGCCGGGAAGATCCCCTGGAGAAGGAAATGGCAACCCACTCCAGTACTCTTGCCTGGAGAATTCCATGGACAGAGGAACCTGGCGAGCTACAGTCCATGGGGTTGCAAAGAGTTGAACATGACTGAGCGACTATCACTCACTCACTCCTAATAACCTCTTTTAAACCATTATTCACACAATGTGAGAGAGGGGCAAAGCAAAGTCAAGAGAATAGTAAAAGATCTATATGGCAACAGTCTAACAGCAGTAGAAATTGTCATAAATCTATTTGGCAGAATATTAAATGCTCTTTAAAAAGGATTATGGCAGCAACGTGGATGCAACTAGAGATTATCATAGTAAATGAAGTAAGTCAGCAAGAGACATACCCTATAGTATTAGGTATATGTGGGATCTAAAATATGATATAAATGAACTTATCTATGAAACAGAAACAGACTCACAGACACAGAGAACAGACCTGTGGTTGCCAAATGGGAGAGAGGTGAGGAGGGAAGGACTGGGAGTTTGGTATTAGCAGGTACAAACCATTACATATAGAATGGATAAGCAACAAGATCCAACTGTATAGTTCAGGGAACGATATTCAATATCTTGAGATAAAGTATAATAGAAAAGAATATAAAAAAGAATATATATGTAAAACTGAGTCACTTTATCAGAAATTAACATTGCAAATCAACTGTACTTTAGTTTAAAAAAAGGAATTATGAAGGCCATGTAGAAGTGCAAAAATGTGTTGAAATGCTTTTGTATTTTACCATTTTCATTTAACATTATTTAAGCTTGTAGCCATAAATGTTACATGTGGATAGGACTAGATAGAATATGCAGAAATAATTATAATTCTAGATTTAATTTATTTTGTGTATAAGTCTATCTACTTTGATGATTTGCCCAGAATTGAAACTCTGGGTCATTTCTATTTTCCCAATTCCCAAGACAAGAAAGGAGCTCTTTGATTTAAGTAAGGGCCTTCGAGGGGGAAGGGAGACCTGTGTCCTTGGAAGGAAGGCAGACCTTGGAAAGATGCTGGAGAGGAGGGAAAACTTTAAGGAAGTTGACCTAAGGTTCTTGGAGACAGAGGAATTAAGAGGACAGATAAGGACAGAAACTACACACTACTGAGGACTAAGCTTCCTTGTAGTTTCCTGTGGAACCCTGATGATGGGCTGTCTTCATAGTGCCAGTGAAAATCATCTGCGTACTGTTTTGACATAGCTACTGAGTCCTACGTTGGTAAATTGCTCAGTCGTATTATCTAAAAGAAGTATTTGTGAATTCAGGATTCAACTATATAAGTATTTTTTATTTCTTTCTGTTGTAAAGTCTAAATGACATTACTAAGAAGTTGATTATTTGAAAACAGGAATTGATATTTTGGTGAATAATGCCAGTGCCATTAGCTTGACCAACACATTGGAAACACCTACGAAGAAAGTGGATTTGATGATGAATGTCAACACTAGAGGCACCTATCTTACGTAAGTTGAAGAGCTATGGGAGAGACTTTCCTGGTGGTCCAATGGCTAAGATTCCTCACTCCCAATGCAGGAGGCCCAGGTTCAATCCCTGGTCAGGAACTAGATGCCACGTAGTGCAGCTAATACCTTGAGCAGCCAAATAAATAAATATTTAAAATAAAAAAAATAGCTATGAAAGAGAATGTTACAGTGCTTTGTCAGAGAACTAGTTATGAATGTATTGGAATAGGTTAGCAATCAGTTTGAAATCTAGTCAATCCTTATTTGTATTTCTAAGTTTTTTGTGTGTGTGTGTGGCCACCATATGTTTATTTATTAATTTTTTTTCCATTTATTTTTATTAGTTGGAGGCTAATTACTTTACAGTATTGCAGTGGTTTTTGTCATACATTGACATGAATCAGCCATGGATTTACATGTATTCCCCATCCCCCCTCCCACCTCCCTCTCTACCCGATCCCTCTGGGTCTTCCCAGTGCACCAGGCCCGAGCACTTGTCTCATGCATCCCACCTGGCCTGGTGATCTGTTTCACTATAGATAATATACATGTTTCGATGCTGTTCTCTTGAAACATCCCACCCTCGCCTTATTTCTAAGTTTTAATTAAACAGCTCATCTCCAGTGGGCTTCCCTCACGGCTCAGGTGGTGAAGAATCCACCTGCAATGCTGGAAACCTGGGTTTGATCCCTAGGTTGGGAAAATCCCCTGGAGAATGGAATGGCTACCCACCCCAGTATTCTTGCCTGGAAAATTCCATGGACTGAGAAGCGTGGAGGGCTACAGGCATGGGTTCACAAAGAGTCAGACACGACTGAGCAACATGATACGCAACTCTTAACTTATCATCTCCAGTATTATATGTGTTTGTATCATGTTAAATTCTTATATCATGCTTATAGAAATTCTGTAATAAGGCTCAACTGTATTTTTGAACAGTTGATCTTTCTTATACCCAGCTCACTTTATTCATTTACTCAAATGCCCTGTAGGCCTTTGAGCTTACAGCACTCAAAGTAACATGAGATTCATGTGAAAGCTAAGAAGTGCAGTGGTTAGCACACAGTGAACTTAGCTGCTTTATTAAGCTCAAGATACTAGTATCTAAGTATGGCACTATGAGTTTTCAATATAATGAGTAAGATAGGGCATGTTGCCATGGAAAATGTACCTGGTTAGGGTTAGTGATGCTGAGGGTTAGGCAAGCAAAGTGCTGGTGGAAAGGTTTTGTCTAATAGATCAAAGGAGAAGCTGATGTTTATAATGTAAATGAAATGAACTCTTTCCTTTGAGTTTGAAATATGGTCTTATTGCTTGGAATAGGTTGTTTGTTTCCTGTTGATGTTTTGAGGTGCAGCTTCACTATTCTAATGACTATCAGCACTCCTATAGACATGAAGTACCTTTGGAAAGGAAAAACAATATGTACAAAAACCTTTTACTTTAGTGATATTAATTGTATTTGGTTTATAAACTTAAAATGACATTGCAGATGGTAACAAGAATTTTGTACATTGATAAGAAAGAAACTGACTTAAGAAGAATGGACCAGTTTCAAGCCCTAGAAGTTATTGAATGTGAAATAAAACTAAACACTATGAAGTTAGTAAGCTACAATATGTTATTAAGCTGTGTATTATAGCTTAATAGTTAAATATTTTAAAATGTTGGACCTGTGTCTTTTGTAAAATACCTACTTTCTTGAATGGGATTTTTTAAAAAAAACAACTAAAATTGCCCCCAAAGGAATATTGCATTGCGTGCTGGCACAGATTAAGTTTGGTAATGTGTTGGGCGTTAATGTCATTAACTTACAGTTTCTTTGTGGTAGGAATACCACACATACTAAGATGAAAAAAATCAGAATGTGTAATACTAATAATTTCAGTTGTTTATTTCATGTTCAATATATGTACTGTTGTAAGTATTTCATACATATTGTCTCATTTTAATCCGTTGGTTAGTCCTAGATAGTAGCAAGTATTACCAGCATTTGCAAATGAGAAAACTGAGAATCAGAATACTATATATATTTACTCCAGATCACACAATGAAGGGCAGAAGGAGACTTTGAACCGAGGTGTGTCTGACTTGGAATGATGTAGTTGAGGATAATCTAAGTTGGATTTAAGGCTAATGTGCTACTTACTTGATTGTTTTCATCAGGCAGATCATATTGTCAAGCTATTATATAAAGTTTCAAAGAATGAATATTAGTTGCTTTTGCTATCTTCATTCTCGATAAATGGAAAAAACAACAACAACAAAAGTATCCTATAAGTTACTGAACAATTTCAGTTGCTCTGTAGTAGTTTAACATATAATTTAAAAAAGTAATGAAACTGTTAGAAAGCTAGCAATTTTTGTGTTTTCTTTTGCTTTCAGATCTAAAGCATGTATTCCTTATTTGAAAAAGAGTAAAATTGCTCATATCCTCAATCTCAGCCCACCTCTGAACCTGAATCCACTGTGGTTCAAACAGCACTGTGGTAGGTGGTAGGGTGAGGGGATGACTTGTTTAGTCAATCTGTTTTACTTTAAGTCAGTGTATCGATGATGTAATCACAGTTTGTACATAGTGTTAACATTAAATTTTCTCTGCAGAAGTTGGTAGCATTTAGATAAGTAGATTCTTAATCTTTGATCTGTCATTTTTTAAATGGAGGTATAATTTACATTAAATGAAATGCATAGTTGTTAATGGTTCAGTCTGATGAGTTTTGACAAATAGATACACCTGAATAACCAATACTCAAATGAAGATATGGATATCCACCATCCTGGAAAGCTCCCTCAAGTACCAGTGGGTGTGTTTTACTGCATGTAACTTATTCTTCAATAAAGTTGATTAAGACTACCATGATTGACATGTATGCATTGCTATGTTTAAAATGGATAGCCAACAGCGACCTGCTGTCTGGATCAGGGAACTCTGCCCAGTATTATGTGACAGCCTAAATGGGTAAGGAATTTGAAAAGGAGTGGATATGTGTATATGCACAACTGAATCACTTTGCCTTACACCTAAAACTAGCACAGCATTGTTGATAACTCTAATATAAAATAAAACATAAAAAAAAAACCCCAAACTATCCATGAAATACTTTACTTTTCACACCTAACTAATGATTTAAGATGAGTTTGCTAAATAATAGGCCTTCGCCAGTAGCTCAGTGGTAAAGAATCCACCTGGAATACAGGAGACATGGGAGATATAGGTTCGATCCCTGAGTCAGGAAGATCCCCTGAAGGAGGGCATGGCAACCCACTCCAGTTTTCTTGCCTGGAGAATCTCATGGACAGAGGAGCCTGGCAGGTTACAGAGCATAGGGTTGCAGAGTCGGACATGACTGAAGTGTGCTAAATAACAGATTTATGTATAGGTGCCTCTTTTGAGGTTATTGTATCAGATGCTTAGTCCTTATTTCAACATTATTCCATAAAATTTGGAAAGGAGGACATTTGGAATAAGAACCCATAGAACAAAACTAAAACAAAGTCTGTTTTAATTGACTCAGTTAAATAAATTTGCAACCTTTTTTTATGTTTTACTAGAAGTAGTTTTCCTTTAAATGGTCACTTTCATTGAAAAAAGGATAAAAAAAGAAATAATAATGTAATTTATCCCCATAATACTCAGAGGAATAAAAGTTTATTACTGTCTCTTTTCTTTTAAACAATTACTAGGATGGAAATATGTAAAAGTAGTTCATCCCTGATATATATCTAAAACTGCTTACGTAGAAAACTGTTCTTTTAAAAATAGTACATTAAAAGTTTTTGTACTAATATAAATATTAAATAATTCTGAAAAATGTATCAAGGAAAAACAGTAATAGAAGGAAATTGGTTGTTTATACTCACAGATTAATTTGTTTCTTAATTAAATTCTTGGTGGTTTCTTTCAGCTTACACTATTGCTAAATATGGTATGTCTATGTGTGTACTCGGAATGGCAGAAGAATTTAAAGGTGAAATTGCAGTCAATGCATTGTGGCCTAAAACAGGTATGAACTTATAAAAGAAATCCATTTGTTGGATTCTCATTTATTGTCTTAGACACTCTTGGGTGGGTGGGGTGGGGTGCAAATGAGTAGACCATCAAAAGGAAACCTCAGTATGTCTGTTTGGAAACAAGTTCAGCTTTTTATTGTACACGAAAGACCCTGTTCAGTCATCTTCTGTGTGACTACGTGGTTGCTGTACTAGAAACACTGAATTCAGGAACACTGGAAGAGTCTCGTAAAAGCCAATAGAAAGCCAGCTGCGCCTCCCTAATCTTTTTTCCACCCTTGTCTTTGGTACCTTAAATTCTGCAGATTCTCTTGCAGTTACTTTTATTTTCTCCTCACACATCCCAGCAAATGCCTCTTTACTTTCTTGTACTCTTACCAATTTGTCTTCTTCCTTTATGAAAAGCTGACTTTTCTGTACTTTCACACAAGTTCTGAGTTCACAAAGTGTCTGGATCCCCTTTAGGTGACAGGCTAACCTGCCTATGGCTGGGTTTTTGAGTTAAATGTACAGTGGAAGCTGATGGCTTGCAGGTTAGGGAATATGTTGTATAAACATGAGGGGAGGGAAATGACACAAAGGGAAGGCTTGTCCTACTTATCCTCCACTTATATATCAGAACGGCTTAAAGGAGGAAAAAGAAAAAAAAAAACTATTCATATTATACCTTTTTATTCATATATTTAATAGTGCCTATGAAAAGCTTAACTTTTTTATTATCTTCACTCTAAATGACAATCCTACCCCACAAAAGTATGAAAAAGAGAAAACAATGGGAATCACTTTTTCATTTCACTTAAAAAAGAATTAACAGAACCTCTGTTGCACTAGCATCAGTCCTCCAACGTGTAAGTCAGTGTGCCCCCTTTCCGGGGAAGCTCCTTCGGGTCAGTACAGGATTCTCCTGGTTCTCCCCACTGGGTCATTCAGTGCATTCCTGCATCTTCCAAGGACCTCGATATTGTTTGTTCCCATTCTTCTTCCTTCTGGCATTATTTTCTTTGTGCATTCATCACTCAGCAAATACCTAGTGGACAGTTGCCATGGGGCAGACATTGTGCACGGGTCAGAGGACACCTCTTTGACCTTTTCACCTCGTAGATGAGTCAGTTGGTAGGGCTGTCTGCTAAAAGAACATTTAATTCAGTATTTTGGCAAATTATAATAGCTCTAGAGGTACTCTTGAATGGAACTGCCACGTATGGCAGTGGGGAATGTACCCAGAGTTGTAGCCTAGGAACAGGGGAGAGGTTTCTTTCACTTCCCATCTGCTGTGTGCTAGGTGAGGAGATTTCCTCAGCCTCAGCAGTAGTGAGAGGCCTAATAGTCTATGGTATTGAAGCTGAGAGAACAGAGGGCTGTGGGGCAGAATTTATGGAGCCCGGGGATGTGTTGCTAATGTAACTGTTAGGAAAATTTAGCCATTGCACCCAGCTCTCTAATCACCATCTTCGTTTTCTAATAAGAACTCCAGAAATTTTTTTAAAAAATGTTTTTTAAGTAAAGTATAGTTGATGTAGGGCTTCCCTGGTGGTTCAGTGGTAAAGAATCCACCTGCCAGTGCAGAAGATGCAGGTTCAATCCCTGGGCTGGGAAGGTCCCCTGGAGAAGGAAATCGCAACCTGCTCTAGTATCCTTGTCTGGGAAATTCTGTGGATAGAGGAGCCTGGTGGGCTACAGTCCATGGGATCGCAAAAGAGTCGGACACAACCTAGTGACTAAAAGGCAGCAACATAGTTGACTTACAGTATTATGTTAGTTGCAGGTCCTACTACATTGTCGCTTGATACTTGCATACACAGTGAACTGATCACTATGACAAGTCTAGTAGCCATCTGTCCCCATGCAAAGTTATTACACTAATACTGACCATATTCCTTATGCTGCATATTATATTCCTAAGGTTTCCTTATTGTATAACTGGAAGTCTGTATCTCTTAATCGCTTTCACCTGTTTTGCCCCACCCTGTACCCCACTCTTCTCTGCCAGCCACCTGCTTGTTCTGTCAGTGTGTTTTCATTTTGTTTTGTCCATTTATTTTGTTTTTCAGATACCACACATTAAGTGAAACCATATGGTATTTGTCTCTGTCTGATGTTTCATTTAGCATAATATGCTCTAAATCCACCCATGTTGTCTAGGTAGCAAGATTTCATTTTTTTAATGGCTGAGTAATGTTCCATTGTGTATGTATGTATTATGTATCACCACATCTTATTTATCCATTGATGGCCTTTTAGGTTGCTTCCATATCTGGGTTATTGTAAGTAATGCTGCAGTGAACATTGGTATGCATATGTATTTTTGAATTAGTGTTTTTGTTTTCTTTAGGTAAATATCCAGAAGTGAAATTGCTGGATCATGTGGCAGTTCTATTTTTAACTTTTTTTTACGAGGAATCAGTTTTTTTAAATATTCCAAACTGCAGTTGACTAAGATTCCTTTATTTCCTGACCTACCGGGGATCAGAACCATGATTTATTTCTTCTTCGTTTCCCTTATGATACTCTAGCAGACAAAATTCTTTTAAGATTTTCTGGAGAGTGGTATTTGTTGCAATGAGGCAAAAGATGAAAGTGAAAAAACTGCTTCTACGATATTTTCAAACTACATGTCAAGACTCACTGGTGAGTCATGAAATCAATTTAGTGAGGCATGAAATCAATTTAGTGGATTGTGAAATTGATTTAGTAGGTAGCAGCCAGAATTTTGTTGTTGTTTCATTTTATTTTTAATTGAATAAAATAGAGAATATTAGAGAGCATTGCACATTGTAATAGTGTTGTTTGGTAAACTTTAAAACATGTGAATATCATATATAAATGAAATATGCATATGTTTATGAGTGTTTATGTGTGGATATTATGCATTTTTAGTCTTGCTCATAAGAAGCGTTACTTATTGTGAATCACAGTAAAGAAGGAGTTTAAAACGAGGACTTTTCTGTGCCTCTTTTCTTCTTTTCCTTCTCTCATCCGTTCTCAAGCTCCTCCCCCTGCTGTAATCACTGCTGTTATTAAAGTTGATGGAGTGAGAAAGTTAGTGTCTGTACATCTCCTTCACATCACTTACAGCATTTGAATTTAAATTACTGATAGCAATAACAGTAGTTGTTATGTCTTTCTTGCTAGAAAAGCTTCTTAAAGATATATTATCTGTTTTGTCTATTTTATTATCATCATTGCAGACATTCAATAAGTATTAATTTTTGATGAATAAATGAATGCAGTATGATCAGCTTCCATGTAGGTCCATAATAGACATTCCAAATAAAAGGTTTATATAAGAAAAGAGAAGAATATTGTATGACAGGGAATGTGAAGGACATTATCAGGATTGGCAGGGAAATCAGCTCACTGCCTAGATCTTTGCTTTAATTGAGGTGTTCATTTTATTAATAGAAGGTTTACTTGACATTTTGGAACCATTGGATCCATCTAGGATCCTTTGGGTCCTAGACTTGTATAACATAGTGAATTGAATTTACGGTCATGCTCCTTATGATACATGGCATGATGAAATATGTACAGGATACTTTTGAAACATAGCAAGAGGACTATGTAGCTCAGACTAAAAGTCAGAAAGGGAGGTCTTTTAATGAAACAATTGAAATGAGACTGAGGATGTTGGAATTAACAAGGAGAACTGAACAAGTCATTCTTGGTAGAGGTAACAACAGTCTGAAGTATGGGAAAATACTGGGTGTTTGGTAGAACTACAAGAAGTTGTTATGGTGTATCTATGATGGGGTGTGGACTTTTTATTTCCCACTGAACTGGAGCAACTTCGAATAGTTCAGATTGGCCTGAATGTTGGGTGGGTGTGAGGTTGTGGGCAAGGTGGACAGATTAAGTCCAAGGGTTTTGATTGCCAAGTTTAGGAGCTTGAATTTTAACCTGTATTCAGTAAATAGTCACTTTAGGATTTTAAAGGCAGGAGAGCAATAATCTGCAGAAGGCAAAGAGGAGCAGTGGTTTGTGATGAGGTAGGTTTAGGAAGTTTATTTTGGCATCTGAATAGGCTGACTTGTAAGATTGTGGAAAGAGGAGGCAGGAAACCTAGCTAGAATATTGCATTATTTATGATGGAGGCAATGAAAATGGATTTGAGAGGGTGTTCAGGCTTCTCGCTGTTTCTGAGGCCTCTATTTAAAAGACACATCTTTTCTTTCTGGACCATATAGTGTAGTTCTCTATGTTTGCTGGAACCAGCAGCAGACTCCCAACATTATTGCCCTTCCAGGAAGAGTTTGATTGCACTTAACAAAACGAGTGCATATATTTTCTACATATCTACAGTGTGACATGTGTTATCACAATCAAAACTGTGTCCTGGTCCAATGTTTGTCCCCTCTGGCTTTGTTTTCCTTCTCTTCACTGGCTACATTGCCCCTTCTGGGTCTAGAACTTTCACCCCAGTGAATGCCACAAATCCAGAAAATGGACCAGCAATCATGCCTTTAGTAGTTTCCCAACATGAGACCCTCAGGTCCCCCAACTCTGTTACCTTCAGAAATACAATTTTATCCCTTTATAAGACACATTTTATAGTTTCTACTGAAGTGGAGGCCGGGGAGGGGAAGAGGGATGAAGGCTGCTCTTAAAAAATGCCTGCTACCTCTTGCCTCTGGACTGATCAGAAGTGTGGTAGGAGAGGACAGTCCACTTTTGGATAGGTTTCGAGCGAGCTGGGGTGAGGAGTCTGCAACGGGTGACTACTTATCTTGGTAATGGCGGTAGAGAGGGAGATAACAAAGGCATCTCAGAACAGCTGCAGTCGTCCGTCACCTAGACCACATTACACTTAGACGTGGAAACTCAGCTAACCAGGGAGGTCATGGTGACAAGGTGGCAGCTGGCCTCTATGGTACTAGAAACCAAAACTGGTTTCCATTTTCAAGGGACCTACTTATCAACTAGGTTAAGCAGTTTGTACCATATTTCACTGATTCTGAGATGCCCATGTTTTCACGTTTACGTCTTTGATACCAGGTTGCTCTTTATAGTTGATGTATTACAGTTTAATTTGCAGGTTTTTTTCCTCTTGGTGGTTACACTTTATAAGCAATGGTATCTTTGGTTCAGTGGACACATACAAGAGTGTGTGTGTGTGTGTGTGTGTGTGTGTGTAGATACAGAGAACAGAGTAGTGGGTACCAGAGGGGAAGGGGAGGGGGAGGGTGAAAAAGGTAAAGGGGATTAACTGTATGGTAGTGGATGCAAGCTAAACTTTCAGTGACTAGCATGCTGTAGTGTATACATAAGTTGAAATATAAACACTTGAAATATCTATACTGTTATAAACCAATTTACTGAGATAATTTTTTTTAAGATATTTTGAAAAGTTCTGGGAATGGATGGCAGTAGTGGCACAACATTCTGAATGTACTTAATGCCAAAGAACTATATGCTTAAAAATGGTTAATCTGAAAGAAAACCAATAAAATGCACCTATGCCATCAAAAGGGCTTCTCCGGTGGCACTAGTGGTCCTGCCAGTGGAGGAGACATAAGGGATGTGGATTCAATCCCTGGGTCAGGAAGATCCCCTGGAGAAGGGCATGACAACCCACTCAAATATTTTGCCTGGAGAATCCCATGGACAGAGGAGCCTGGCGGGCTACAGTCCACAGGGTTGCAAAGAGTCGGACACAACTGAAGCGACTTTGCATACACTCCAGCAAAAAAGTGGTTAAAATATATATACATATGATTGAAAATGCTTAAAGTATGTATTCATTTCTTCAATAAAGTATTTTTTTAAAAAAAGAAAAACTAGAATTATTTCTTGTGCTTAGAAAACATAAATTTTTTTTAGATACCAAGCTGTAATCAGGAGAGCCACTCAGAAGCTAGTAGATATTTTCCAGTTATTCCTTAATAAGACTTAAGTTTCAGGGTTACTTTTAGGATTCTTGTGATCCAAGGCATATTGGCTTTCTTTATAAATCTTGATTTTTTTTTTTGCCAGAAATCATCAGGGAGTTTGATTTGATTCATCCTGTTATTAATCTGTTTTTATTATCAGTTGTATAACCTGTTGGGTTGACCTGTTGATTGCAAAACTTTTGTTGAGAGTAACTGCATCAGTCACTTCCTGATTTAGGAGGTTTATTCATGCCTTCTTTGTATCTTCCATAGAAAAGTCATTAAAGTAATGATAGGTTGTTTGGTAAACCATTCCTTATTCTTATATTGTGTGTGTGTGTAGATATACACACACATGTACATGACATATATATACTTACATGACCCATACTTAGTAATTTTTAAGACTTTGCATACCATTTATATACTATACAGTGAGAGTGGAGTATGTATGTATGTATACAGTCTCATTGTCTGCATTGAAACATTTATAGAAAAATTCTGCAGTTTATAGGAGTAAGATGATAACTGAACTCTACAAATATTGATCAACAAAGTATGACCCATTAATCACATAGTGGCTAAGAGCCTGGCTCTGAAGTCAAGCCGCCAGCTATTTGAATCCTAGCTCCTGTAACCTTGGACGGTTACTTAACCCCTCTGTGCCTGAGTACTGTCATCTGTAAAATGAGGATAATAATGGTACATACCTTGTGGAATTCATTCAGATAATGTGTGTAAAGTATGTAGCAGTATGCCCAGCACAGGGTACACTTGATAAATGTTAGCTGCTATTTTTTATTCATAAGGTACCACTTCAAGAGTGGGGCCAGAGCTCTTGAGCTATTAGTAAAGCTAAAAAATTTATTCCTAGAAAAGGAATTTTAGTTATAATGTGAAGAAGTGTCTTCTAATTCAGTGCACTTGAGAAATTCCCCAAGTTCATGTGTATGCTTTGAAAGAGGGGAGTGTACCAGAAGGTAATTGCCGTGAAAGTAGGGACTTTGCTTTGTCCACTCATCTGTTCCCAGTACCTCAGTAGCGCCTGACTTTTTTAATAACATTCAATAACTGTTTGTTGAATGAGAAAGAGTCAATGGCTCTTAAAAGCTACAAACTTCATCTTGTGGACTGAATTTTATAGGTTATTTGAGTATGTAATGATTTCAAATGGTGGTTTAACAATAGAATGGAGAGGCGTTTATCTAAATTACTAGAAACTGAAGCCTAAAATTGGAGAAGGCAATGGCACCCCACTCCAGTACTCTCGCCTGGAAAATCCCATGGATGGAGGAGCCTGGTGGGCTGCAGTCCATGGGGTCGCTAAGAGTTGGCACGACTGACCGACTTCACTTTCATGCATTGGAGAAGGAAATGGCAACCCACTCCAGTGTTCTTGCCTGGAGAATCCCAGGGACGGGGAAGCCTGGTGGGCTGCCATCTATGGGGTCACACAGTGTCAGACACGACTGAAGCGACTTAGCAGCAGCAGCAGCAGAAGCCTAAAATACATTTAAACAAATTGATTTTCGTTGCTTTAAATGTAAATTGAAATAAGTCACTATTCACAACTTTGGCAACGCATAATTAATAATGTAGTATTAATGGTAAGAGTTTCAGGTTACTTCACAAAAGCATAATTTAAAAATTATATGTATGGAACTTCCCTGGTGGCACTGTGTATAAATATCCATCTGCCAGTGCAGGAGATACAGGTTCAACCCCTGGTCCAGGAAGATCGCACATGCCTTAGAGCAACTAAGCCTGAGGGCCACAACTACTGAGCCTGCGAGCCTTAGAACCTGTGCTCCACAACCAGAGAAGACACCGCAGTGAGAAGCCCTTGCACCGCGAGGAAGAATAGCCTCCACTCGCCACAACTAGAGAAAGCCCGCACAAATCAATGAAGACTCAATGCAAACAAAAATTAATTAATTAATTAAAAATCATACGCACCTAAAACAGTGGAAATGATATGCAAGCATTAATAATAATTTTCTCTGGGGAGAAGGATTATAGATAATTTAAAAACTTTTCCTTGAGACTTCCCTGGTGGTCCAGTGATTAAGACTCCAAGCTTCCACTGGAGGGGGCATGGAGTCATCATTAAGACTGTGACGTGCAGTCAAAAAAATACTTTTTTTTCTTTTCCCTTCTCTTTATTTTCTAGTATTTCATAAATGAAAGTAGTATCTGCATGTAAAAGGGCCCTCAAATCCAACCAGTATTTATCTGATGTTTATGGTATACTTGTCATTGTTTTAGGCACTAAGGGTACAGTGATGAACAAAAAAGACAAAGTTTCTTTATTCTAGTAGAGGGAAAAGAGAAAATAAGCTTAGGAAAGGGACTCCAGATTTGAGAGACAGGAAACTGAAGCCAAAAGATGTTAAAGTAGCCTGCCAAAAATCTCAGCCTAGTTGGCATAAAAATATCACTGACCTGATTTACAGTTCAGTGCTCTTGCTAGTATTCCTCACCAGCTTTCTGATCTCTCAAGAACGGTATGCAAATTCTTTGAGCATTCTTAATCAGCAATCTAATTTCGCTGTGAGTTTCATGAAGGAGTCCTATATAAGACAGCAAAACATTTGGCAAATCCTTTAAGCCCTCTGGACTGTGTTCTCATCACCTGAGTTATAAAGAGAGAAATTGTCTTGCTTGTTCTTCGAATAGTTCTGTTAACTCAGTTGAAAGTTATGTATGTGTATGTTTGTTTTCTTTATAGCCATACACACTGCTGCTATGGATATGCTGGGAGGATCCGGTATCGAAAACCAGTGTAGAAAAGTTGATATCATTGCAGATGCTGCATATTGCATTTTCAAAAAGCCAAAAAGTTTTACGGGCAACTTTATTATCGACGAAAATATCTTAAAAGAAGAAGGAATAAAAAATTTTGATGTCTATGCCTTTACACCAGGTAATGCATTTGGTTTTGAAAAGTAGTAATGTGTTTGTCCACGTTGTCTGCAGTGGACATACATCTGTTTTGTGTACGTGTTCATGTGATTATAACATTGGTACACTCTTTTTAAAAACTGTCTTCCCAGGGAAGGGAAAGACCCAGACTAATACAACTTTCAAAAAAGAGAAAGGGAAAACAGAAGTGAGCCCAAAGACTTTTTAACAGATACACAGAAAAGGTCCCATCAGCTTCTAACCTTTTCTAAATCTTAAAGCCAAAAATGAAAAATAGTTTCTGAAGTTGGTCTTAAAATAACATAGTAGAGAGTTTGTTCAAGGACATGGTACAGATGATTCAGTGATAAGTTTCTTACAAAAACTTTTTAAGATTGTGAGCTCTTTCCACATGTTCTCTCTTAAGTGCAGTCTGAGTGTAGCTTCATGATGAATGGTGAAGGTGATTGAACGGGGTCTGCCTCACATACAAGGCGGCGATTTGAGAAGTTCTCAGAAGACCCCTTGTTCAGAAATAATTCTTCCTGTTGTAACTGTAGGGAATGATAGTGATGATAATGCATTTTTACTTTACATGTAAAATAAAATGTATAGTAGACAATCATAGTCCCAAATGGGAATTGTATTTGTGCAGAAGTGTATTTTAAATATTAGTAATTAAGTTGAGCTCCTTGGTGACAGAAACCACATGTTTCTATTTGTATCATCCCTGTCTCTTCAGTCTGAAACAAATTGAATGAAGTAGCTCTATATGGTTTTACAAAACATTTTTATATATAGTATCTATTTAACTTTCATAGCAGTCCTGTGAAGGAAGCAATATTGTACAGAGATTAGGAATTGTGGAGTTTGGGAGGAGACAATCCAGTTCCCACTTCTATTTGGCTGCTTACTAGCGGGTGGCCTTAGTCAGATCACCTGTTTCCTCTGAGCCTCACTTTCTTTATCAGTTAAATTAAGGGAAAGATAGCTTCTACACAGGATTTTTGTAAGAACTAAGTGCAAAAATGTATATCGTGCACAGTGCCTGGCTTGTGGTACAATCGGACTATTCAGTAGTTAATACTTGTAGTGGAAAGACAGGTTTCAAAGGGATCAAGCCTTTCCCTAAGAGCAGTCAGCTAATAAGTGTCAGAACCTGAACCATACCCAGTTCCTCTGGATTCTGGTGTAGTGTAACTATCACTTTAGGTTTTAAAGATACAGTGTCACTGTACACAAAATTTTAAATTCAATTTAAATTAAAAATTCTGTCAAGTGTTGAAAGCAATATGATCATGTACTACAGTTAAAGTGTTAGGATATAACAAAGACTGGTGCATCCCTGCCCTCCAGTTTTTTTAATCTTCTGAGAGGGAAAGACAGACACATTGACAGATACGGAAAACAAGTTCTTCTTAATGAGGAACCCCCTTGTCTCAAGGGGGCCAGGTGAGAAATGAGCCCTGAGTGTTTTGGAGGGAGGTAGGACAAAAGGGTTGCATGTGTAGATGAGAAGGTGTAGAAAGCTCTTGGGAGAGCAATTGAGGGCTTAACAACTCTTTGGTTGGATCTTTAAGATGAAATTTTCCATAGGAGAGGAGGATAACTAGGTTACTGGAAAAGTGTTTTAGCTTAATGAAGGTCAGAGTTTGATACTTCTCCTGGGAGTCTTTTCCACAGCTCCAGAATGAGCAATATAATAAAAACATATAATGTTTCTTAAACAGATGTTAAAATCTGAGTGCAGAAGTTGTTCCATTAACCTGATTGTTTGGGGATCAATTTTTCAGGCCATCCTTTGTTACCAGATTTCTTCTTGGATGAACAGCCAGCTACAGTTACAAAGAAAGCAGACTCATATGGTAAGATTAGACTGGATTTTCTGTGGGAAAATAAAGTTACTAACTTATGTATATCTTCCAAAATGTAGAATTGGACATTTCTGCTTTTAAACTACTTTGTATTTGGCAGGGAAGTGGGGGGCAGCTCACCATGCGGCTCAAGGCATCTTAGTGCCGAGTCCTAACCACTGGACCACGAGGGAATTCCCTGTTTTTGTAATTTAAACTAGACAAGTAATGTCGTAGTTAATTCTAGCAAAGGAAGTGTTTTTTTCCTTCTACTGGTAAGAAGTGTTCAGTGTATTCTTTTCATTTAAGGAAAAAAGTTGTCTTTGAAATACACCTTTTTAATGTTTTTCTTTCTTTTCCTTGGCACCATTTTTAGTTGTTTTGTGTTGATATTTTATTTTGAGGAAAAATGTGACCTGTTATAGTACATCTGACACCATTCACAGAGTTTGTGCTATGAAATTAACTTCAAAGGAGGTTTGGGTTTCTTTGTTTCATTTTTGTAATTTAGAAACAACAGCTCCCTTAAATTGGTCCTGAATTTACATTTTAATCCTTGTGTTCTGGCATTATGCCACTAACTTACTGAAAGGTGTCAGAAGAAATACTCTTCAGTGAAAACCCGTGAGAATTTCTCTCATAGTTTGTTAACAAGAATAGCAGTGCTTCCTCTGGACCCTCACCTTATTTTTATATTATAGACTCTGTGAATCTCATAAGTGACCATAGATTTTTTTATATGGTGGTTAGAAAGTTGAAGACAACGTTTCTTCTGTACCTTTAGCAAACCTATAGAACCTTACTGCAATGCGTTTTAGTCCCAAACCGTATTTCCAGCTCAATCTTTTTATTAAATTAGTTAATATTTTTGGCTGCACTGGGTCTTCGTTGCTGCTCTTGGGTTTTCTGTAATTGCAGTGAATGGGGCTACTCTTCATTGCAGTGCATGGGCTCCTCATTCCAGTGACTTCTCTTGTTGCAGTGAGTGGCTCTAAGCCACTCTAGAGAGTGGGCTTAGGAGTTGTGGCACACCAGCTTAGTTGCCCCTGGCATGTGGGATCTTCCCAGACCAGGGATCAAACCTGTGTCCCCTGAATTGGCAGCTGGACTCTCAACCACTGGACTACTGGAGAAGTCCTCTGTGACATTTCTACGTTGTAGTTTTGGGAATCAGGATGTCTCTGCTTTAGGATTCTCTGGCCAGGTGGTCCATGGCTCAGAGGCCTGTTAGCTCATCTCGTGTGTTAATGATATCTACAGCAGCATTTTTTTTTTTTTTAACACATCAGTGATGTTACCAACAACAGCAATTTTAGTCGACTCCAGTTAATTGGTATTCAGTTAGCACAGAATTGGGATCAGAGGAAACAAGCAAGGGAATGAAGTTTTGGATGTAGAGGTTAATCATAAACTTACTAAACTCTTCTTAGGAGAACTTGATTTCATTTCCCTCCAAAAGTTTCCATATTTGTTGATTTGTTGTCTAATGACTGTCCCTTTGAAATATACTACTGTTTTTTTTTTTGTCTCCTATGGTTTTATTCTCTTGTGCAGTCATCATGCTATGCTTAAATAGTCTAGGTGAGAAATGATGCAGTTTATCCCTTGGCAAGTGTCTTTCAAGACTACACTGAAGTTTTCATTGCCATCTCCCTGGCACCTCGGATGATACAGATGATATATCTTGATTACTGGACGAATCACCTGAAGTAGTCACCTATTAGTAAAAGAGGTGTGCCAACAGTTATTGTATGATAAACTTAGTTCTGTCTGATGTGCCTTCTAAAACCAAACACATCCCTATCTGTTTCCTGCCTCCAGAAACATGAAGCAAGCCTATGTCTTTGCCTTCTTCAGTTTTAGCAGCCTCTGCTGGGTCGAGTTCTGCTGAGCTTATGTCTTAGTGCTATGCTCAGCGTGTATGTTGGCTGTATAAAAATTACATAGTTAGATACAGAGCACAGTGTAGAGGAATATTACCCAGTCAGACTGCCTGGGTTGGAACTCCTGCGGTGTAACCTTGGGTGGGTATTTCAGTTGCCATTTTTAGAACCTCACTCACTCCTTTTTGCTTTAATCCTGAATTGTGTTTATTTTATTAAGCATTCTGAAGTGCTTTCTGAAACAAGATATGTTATAAACAATAAGGGAAAACTAACTTTTTATATTGACTTTGTATCTGGTCACCTTCATGAGTTTTTGTTTTGTTTTGTTTTAAACTTCTAATAGTTTCTCGTAGAGAGACAGTTACTGGAAGCATAGACTTTGGAGTAAGACAGATGTGGGTACGAGTCCTGTCCCTGCCGCTTCTGTCCCTGACCTTGGACAAGTCGCTTCAGCTCTCTGACACAATTTTCTCATCTCTTACTTTCCTTATACAAATATCATGAGGTTAGGTATGATAGAGTGTCATGTTGTGAATTTTATATAGCAAATTCTCTACACACATAAGTTGGTATAATTATCATTGAGTAATTTCTTGAATTTCCTAAGTGGTCAGACTTATTATCTGCATATAATAGTATCTTACAGGATTATTTCTGGCAGGTATCTTAATATACTGACTTGAACTTCCAGAAGCATTTGGAAATATTTATTGAAATTATTTGTTTTAGGTATTCTTTTATTCTTAATTTTATCGAGAAAATCTTTAGATTTTATCCATAAGTAAGATGTTAGATGTTGGTTAAGATTTTTTTATCAGGTATTTAGATTAATGTCTAAATTTTTGTTATTGTTTCCTATATTTTATTTTTTGTTCTGTTTTGAATATGGCAATCAATTGGGTAACTTTCTTTTTCCATGTTCTTTTTTTTGAAGGTTTGAAATGTCTCACTAAGTCATTTGAGTCTTTTCTGAAGTTGTTTCTTTGGAAGTATTTTTATTTGCTCAGTCAATTAATTTTTTTTCTAAAATAAAAAAACCCAGAACCAGCCATTTAAAGTTGTAAAATTTATTTAAGTGTTGTCATGTAGTATTCATTTATAATTTAAGTTTTTTGTGTATTTTATCCCTTTTAGAGTTTCTTCTTCTCTCCTTTTTTTGGATTAGTTTTCTAGAAAGTTTTCAATTTTAGTGTATTTTATTATTTTTGCTCTTAAAAACCAGGTTTCAAATTATATTTCATTTTTCATACTTCTGCTTTTTTCTTTACTAATTCATTACTTCTATTACATCTTTAAGATATGATCTACATATACCCCAAACTCACCATTTTAAAGTATATAGTTAAGTAATTTTTAGTATATTCACAAAATTCTGCAACCATTTGATTCATTAATTTAAAATTTTCTTCCTTTATTTCTTTCTTTTCTGTTTTCTTTTTGAAATTGCATATTTTTATTCTTTTCTTGCCTGCTAAGCAAGCAGGCAAGTACTTTATTTTTATTTTTTAAAAATAATAAAATAATTTTGACTGTGCATTTACCCCCTCAATATAACTTTGTCCACATCCAATAGATTTTGTAATGTACTTTAATCAATTTTGATATCATTTTAAATTAATTTATATATAAAAAGCTTAGTATATAAAGAATAAAGAAAAATTTAAAAACCATGTGTAACCTGCCACCCAAATATAAATACTGTTTGTGTCTTGGTTTCTTTCTTTCCAGTCACTTATATTTTCTGAAAATGTAACTTAAAATTCATGTCCACAAATGTATATTTCACCTGATTGGATCATATTGTATTTAATTGTATATGTGTCATTTTACTTAATATTATATCCTGAATATTATCCATGTCTTCAAAAACAAATTTTTGAAATGACAACTTAGTGTTGAGTGAATGTACTGTCATATGAATGTACTGTTTATTTTAGTGGTTCATAATTGTTTCATTCTATAAATGTTACAGGATTTTTAGTAGATCACTAAAAGTGGATGATTAGGCAATGGGAGGGTTCCTGACATATATTATCAAGTTTCCTTCCAGAATTATAAATACTGGCTGTGTATGAGTATCTCCCTCACTGCACTGTCAGCATTAAGTATATATCTGAATTTTAAATTGGCTTCTAAATAATAATACCATAGTCATTGGATCTTAAGTATTTCACCTTTAATATCTGCTGGACTTTAAAGGAGAAGGCTTTTTTAAAAATTTGTCTGTGGAAGCATAATGGAAGATAATTTGTATTTAACAAATTTAAGACACTTTTAATTGATTATATTGTCCCAGGTATATCTTTGTGTTGCTGACTAGATTTTATGTAATAGCCTTTGGTGAGTTGTATTGGACAATATGACTGGGTATAATTTGAGTTGGGAAATAGATGGAGAACTGATCTTCAGCCTAAAGTACAGATTGTCCTTTGAGTTAAATAACAAATTACTCTCCTCTGTTTCTGGATGCAGCCAAACTGCCCACAAATGATTCCAAGAGGACAGATAAAGTCAGGCTCGAATTGAGGGACCGCTTCATGCTAAGGGATCCGAACAGTGCTGCGCACTGCACATCTTCTCTGGCCCATCATATGCTGAATGGTCATGGCCAATGGTTTAAGTGAATACAGTTTTTAAAATGTTGCAACCTGTATTCCCTTGGCCTTGGTTTCTAGGCAGTGGGGCCTTCATGAAACTAATATGTGGTTTGATTTCCCTCTTCATCAAGTGGGAGGGACCAGTTTGACTGAAATTGGGAAAAGTACTGAGTTTGTGTGATTTAAGGCATTTTGAGCCTTCTTTCTGTCAGAGGAGGCTATTCTCAAGTCTTCACATGATTTTTGCTTAAAGAAGCATTTCCATTCCCTGAAAGGAGGAGGCAGGTTCAATCCAGGGATGAAGTGAAAGTGAAAGTCGATCAGTCGTGTCCGACTCTTCGCTACCCCATGGACTATACAGTCTCTGGAATTCTCCAACTCAGAATACTGGAGTGTGTAGCCTTTCCCTTCTCCAGGGGATCTTCCCAACTCAAGGATGAAGAGACTAGGTGAATAAGTTTAATTTAGAGGTAAAATTATCGAGGAGTTCGCTTGGCTGTTGATTCAAACTACAGCTTCCAGTTCATTTCCTCCAGCTTGTATAGTGATATTCTGATCTCCATCTTTCTGACTCCATGGTGTTCTTTGCTCATTTGGTTTTAGAACTCAGAGGCGATGATAAAGGAGTGATTAATTGTTACCACTAAAACTCTAGTAGTTTGTTTAGATCTATTTACTATAAACACTGTATAGTTTGGATTTTTTTTAACCTAATCTTGAGAGCTTTTTACTTGAAGACAATACACCATTTACATTTACAATCATAACTGATGTGTTTGGTTGTTATTCCATATGTTTGATTTGTGCTTTTAAGATGCCACTGAACATATTTAAGGTCATTTTGGTCAAATGGTAGCAAGTCTGTTCTGCTAATTAATTAATTTTGTGTGGGACCTTACATTGCCTGGGCCTTAAAAGCACTTACATCAATAACATTTTATAGGTGCTGTTCCAGAATTGAAAGAAGAGAAGACGCAGCCACCACCAAAACCACGTTCTGGAGCTGTGGAAGAAACATTCAGAATTGTTAAGGACTCACTCACTGATGACGTTGTTAAAGCCACTCAAGCCATCTATCAGTTTGAACTCTCAGGTCAGCGTTACTTCTAGTAATCTGTAGCTTTTACTGAAACAATGTAGGGTATTTCTTTTAGAAGTATATCAGCTTCCAGTAGTAATCACCTGGATAGATGGCTATATCCAGAACTTTTACCCTAGAATGTAGACATTTAAGAATAGCAGATAACGTTTGTATTTTTGTGTTTTCTTTTTGGTTTTTGTGCATCTATCAAAACTCAGTTGGTAAATCATCTGCCTGCGATGCAGGAGACCCAGGTTGGATTCCTGGGTTGGGAAGATCCCCTGGAGAAAGAAATGGCAACCCACTCCAGTATTCTAGCCTGGAGAATCCCATGTTCAGAGGAGCCTGGTGGGCACAGTCCATGGGATCGCAAGAATCAGACACGACTTAGCGACTAAACCACCACCATCAAAGCTTTGGATTTGTGGTTACCATGGGGTTCATATGTGTCAACCTATAGTTATATCTACTTGTTTTAAACTGGTAGTTCCACATATAAGTGATACATTTGTTTTCTACTTGATTTTGTAGTTCTTCTGATTTGTGTTTTTAAGTTAATATCAATGTATATTCAGTTCAGTTCAGTCGCTCAGTCATGTCCAACTCTTTGCGACCCCATGAACCGCAGCATACCAGGCCTCCCTGTCCGTCACCAGCTCCCGGAGTCCATCCAAACCATGTGCATTGAGTCAGTGATGCCATCCAACCATCTCATCCTCTGTTGTCCCCTTCTCCTCCTGCCCTCAATCTTTCCCAGCATCAGGGTCTTTTCCAGTGAGTCAGCTCTTCACATCAGGTGGACAAAGTATTGGAGTTTCAGCTTCAACATCAGTCCTTCCAATGAACACCCAGGACTGATCTCCTTTAGGATGGACTGGTTGGATCTCCTTGTAGTCCAAGGGACTCTCAAGAGTCTTCTCCAACACCACAGTTCAAAAGCAGTTCAATTCTTTGGCTCTTAGCTTTCTTTATAGTGCAACTGTCACATCCATATGTGACCACTGGAGAAACCATAACCTTGACTAGATGGACCTTTGTTGGCAAAGCAATGTCTCTGCTTTTTAATATGCTATTTAGGTTGGTCATAACTTTCCTTCCAGGGAGTAAGCATCTTTCAATTTCATGGCTGCAATCACCATCTGCAGTGATTTTGGAGCCCAGAAAAATAAAGTCAGCCACTGTGTCCACTGTTTCCCCATCTATTTGCCATGAAGTGATGGGACCGGATGCCATGATCTTAGTTTTCTGAATGTTGAGCTTTAAGCCAACTTTTTCACTCTCCTCTTTCACTTTCATCAAGAGGTTCTTTAGTTCTTCTTCACTTTCTGCCATAAGGGTGGTGTCATCTGCATATCTGCATATCAGTGCATATGGACATATGTAAAATAAAATTTTCTTATAGATACTTCCAGTGTTAACATCTTGGTGTATTAAATTGAGAGAAAATCCTATTTAGAAGACAGGTGGTGTAATGCAGTAATTCATTAACCATGGGCACCTTGCCTTTTTTTTCCCCTTTTTTTTTGGCTGCACCACACACAGCTTGTGGGATTTTACTTCCCTGACAAAGGACTTACCCTGAGCCCACAGCAGTGATAAGCACCGAGTCCTAACCACTGGACTGCCAGGGAACTCTCTTGCTATTTTTTAATCTTTGAAATTAATTCTGATCAGTCTGAATGCAGTCAGCTTTTAAAATCTCTCAATATTTTTCTTCTCAGTACAGTTTTAATACATGTTAATGATAGTTTTAAGAATTAGCTACCACAGTCCCATTGCACACCAACTCTGACATTACCAGTTCTTTTATCCTTTATCACCTCTGCTTTATCTTAATCCGTCTGCATCTTCTTGTTTTTACTTCCTTCCCTAGAGCCCATAGCCCACTGCTTCAATCACAGTCTTGCGGATATGCTAAGCTTCCTGACCTGTGCTGCTTGTGTCACCAGCTGTCAAAATCCTAGTCCTGGATGATCAAGCTATCTGCCTGCTCCACACTTGAGTCCAGGCTGCCAAGTCTGGCTGGGAAACTGGGAAGGGGAGTCACACCAACCAGTGAATCCGTCCCAATAAAAATTCATCAGTGGCCCGCTCCACCTGGGGTCTAAGCAGCACATCAGAATTCATTGTTTCCGTGGGCAGCTTCTTGTCTGATTTAACTCAGTGACTGTTTAAACCTTTCAGTGCTCCTAAAGTCTCCTCTGTCTCCCTTTACCACTGTCCTGCACATTTCTGCAGATAATCCCAACTCCTCTTTCACAGACATGAGGGAAGCCAACAGATAGGAATTTATCCAGCTTCCTGCCATCTGATACCCAGCCTCTCATCTTCCCCTCCCAGCAGGTCCAGCTCAACTCCAGATGTGTGCATCTTAAGCTTTAAGATCCATACTGATCCCAGCAGGGCATGCTAAAATGCAGAATCTGATTCAGTAGGTCTGAGGTAGGGTCTGAAGTCTGCATTTCTGACATGATGACAGTACTGCAGTTCAGGGATCACACTTTGAGTAGCAAGGTTCTAGATCCCATTTCCTCTGGCCTCCTCAGGGAATAGGTGCTGTATCTTCCACCTGTTTGTCCTGAAGTGTCCTTCCCAGTGGCTTTTTAACATTCCCAAAGTCTATCTTAAAAATATATATATATATATAAATAAATGGAAAAAAAAATACAGCACTAACAACCCTTCCAATCACACTGCCCACCCCCCATCTTTCTTCTCCCTTTCAGAGCCAAACTTATTTTCACATACGATTCTCTCTGCTGTGGTGTCATTTTCCTCCGGTCTGCTGGATTTGCTCTCCCCAAGGTCCTCAATGACTTCTGTGTCACCAGTGGGCATTTGTCTTTCTTGCCTTGTCTCTACTCTGCAACAGTGGATGCTGCTGACCATGCTTTCCTTCTAGAAATGTCTGTTTGCTTTTCTTCTCTGTCTGTAATCATGCCTTGTCAGTCTCCTGTGCTAGATGGTTCTCCATCCTCTCCTTACATGTTGATATTCTTCAGGTCACTGTCTTGGAACTCTATTCTACAGACTTTGTCTAGGAAAACCCCAACCACTCACATGGCTTCAGTGACCATCAGAGCTGGTTCCTTATGTATCTCTCCTTCTAGCCTGGTCAGACTTCATGTGACATTTTCATCCAGCTATCACAGAGATGCCTCAATCTGAAAATGTTCATAATAATTCATCATTCCCAATACCTGGCTTTGGCACTACTTGTTAAATCCTCTCTTCTTCAATAGTCCTCTCTCATAAAAAACAAAACAAAATATACCATTATTTATCCAGCTTCCCAAGCCAAAACCCAGCAAAATAAATCACTCTTCTGCACCCTCCCTACCTTCCCCTCTTCATATGCAATCAGTTACCTAATTCTGTGGTACTGCTTTGCTAAATTCTCACTCACATATGCCAACCTGTCCCCATTTTCACTGCTGAATCCTGACCCAGGCATACATCCTCAAGCTCCTGAACAGGGAGCTTGCCCTGCAGCACGCGGAATCTTCCCAGACCAGGGATTGAACCTGTGTCCCCTGCATTGGCAAGCAGGTTCTTTACCACTAGACTATCAGGGAAGTCCCTCTGCATCCTCTTTGTCCCTCTCTAATGGGAAATAGATGGGGAAACAGTGGAAACAGTGTCAGACTTTATTTTTGGGGGCTCCAAAATCACTGCAGATGGTGATTGCAGCAATGAAATTAAAGACGCTTACTCCTTGGAAGGAAAGTTATGACCAACCTAAATAGCATATTAAAAGGCAGAGACATTACTTTGCCAACAAAGGTCTGTCTAGTCAAGGCTATGGTTTTTCCAGTGGTCATGTATGGATGTGAGAGTTGGACTGAAGAAAGCTGAGTGCCGAAGAATTGATGCTTTTGAACTGTGGTGTTGGAGAAGACTCTTGAGAGTCTCTTGGACTGCAAGGAGATCCAACCAGTCCATCCTGAAGGAGATCAGTCCTGGGTGTTCACTGGAAGGATTGATGCTGAAGCTCAAACTCCAGTACTTTGGCCACCTCATGCGAAGAGTTGACTCATTGGAAAAGACCCTGATGCTGGGAGGGATTGGGGGCAGGAGGAGAAGGGGACGACAGAGGATGAGATGGCTGGATGGCATCACCGACTCGATGGATGAGATGGCTGGATGGCATCACCGACTCAATGGACATGAGTTTGAGTAAACTCCGGGAGTTGGTGATGGACAGGGAGGCCTGGTGTGCTGCGATTCATGGGGTCACAAAGAGTCGGACACGACTGAGCGACTGAACTGAACTGAACTGAATGTTGTATTCTCTACACTGCTGTTAGGGTGATCTATTTAAAATGCAAACCTAATGCCATTCTCCTTCCATGGAATATCCTGTAGGATAAAGACAGGGACTGCCTTATGAGTTCATGTGAGGCAACCATTCACTTTCTTTCTATCTTCTGTACTTTTTCAGTTCCTCTTCTAGCAAATTCTTACCTAACTTTTAAGTCTCCACTTTGGCTGGACTTTCCTGAGTCCACATTGTCCTCTATTTAGTCTTTTGTATGAATGATGTTATTGCAGAGTTTTCAGGGCCTAGCCTAGTGCCTGGCACATAATAAGTTTTTAAATATTGAATTTTATAGAGGCCTGGGAACTTCAACCTGGGTAACAGAATTATGTGTGATTATTCTAACTGTACAGTTATAAAGAACAACAGAGCTTCTTTGACATTTATTTCTATATCTTTGTTTTCTGTGTAGGTGAAGATGGTGGAACATGGTTTCTTGATCTTAAAAACAAGGGTGGTAATGTTGGACATGGAGAGCCTTCTGATCAGGCAGATGTGGTAATGAGTATGTCTACTGATGATTTTGTAAAAATGTTTTCAGGTGAGTTTTTAAATTTTACTAGTTGACTGATTGCTCAAGAAAAATTTTGTTCTAACATTTTGCTTTTAGTTCAGTCACTCAGTCATGTCCAACTCTGTGACCCCATGGACTGCAGTGTGCCAAGCTTCCCTGTCCATCGCCAACTCCCTGAGCTTGCTCAAACTCATGTCCATCAAGTCGGTGATGCCATCCAACCATCTCATCTTCTGTTGTCCCCTTCTCCTCCTGCCTTCAATCCCTCCCAGCATCAGGGTCTTTTCTAATGAGTTCTTCACATCAGGTGGCCAAAATATTGGAGTTTCAGCTTCAGCATCAGTCCTTCCAAAGAATATTCAGCACCGCTTTCCTTTACGATTGACTGGTTTGATCTCTTTGTAGTCCAAGGGACTCTCTCTTGGGAGTCTTCTCCAACACCACAGTTCAAAAGCATCTATTCTTTGGTGCTAAGCTTTCGTTATAGTCCAACTCTCACATCCATACATGACTACTGCAAAGACCATAGCTATGACTATACAGACCTTTGTCAGTAAAGTAATGTCTCTGCTTTTTAATATTCTGCTTTACATTTACATTTTTGCTTTATCCCTTTTCAAATAATCAAGACTCAAAACATGTTGTAGCAGTGCAGTCTTAGTGACTATTTATGTTGATTTGAAGAGTACATAGTTTTGGAATGGTGATTCTTACCATTACCTCTACTGACCCTTCTACTTCATCCAACAATGGGGAGCAGATGTCAAAATACTCTTTTTGCATGACTGAAAAGCTATTAAGACAGTATTGGGAACTGAGAGATAAATCAGAAGAACTCCTAGGTAGACTTCATTTCTGCCAATTGGACTAAGATACCATTTCCAATAACAGCTTGGAAACTGGAGGTGCTGAACTTAGCTGCAGCTCATTTATAGAGTAAGATCATGCTTCAATATTGCCAGCTACTGTAGTAGGAAACTGTAACCATCTCCCATGGCCCAGTGACCCTGTTTCTGAAGAATCCATAACCACGAGAAGCTTATACATAATTTTCTATTCTGCCTCTGTATCTTTAATTGTACTAGAAAAATGTTGGGGTAATCTTTTCTATTTTCTACTCTGCAGCACAACTTCAGATGGGTAATTAACACATATACTTATAGAATGAAGTTGCTCAGTTGTGTCCTACTCTTTGCAACCTCATGGTATGTAGCCTGCCAGGCTCTTCCATCCATGGGATTTTCCAGGCAAGAATACTGGAGTGGATTGCCATTTCTCCAGGGGATCTTCCCGGGTTTGAACCCAGGAAGACCCAGGGATTGAACCTGGGTCTCCTGCATTGCAGGCAGACTCTTTACCATCTGAGCCACCAGCCCAAATACTGAAGTAGTAGCACTTTAAGCAAAAGTATTATAACATTTTAACCTCAATATTCTAAAGATTCATTTGAGTTATGAATGTTATTCTTTATTCTCTTTTAACCTTCATAAATTGAAGATCAGTCAGAATGTACTCTGTGCTGTGTAAGTCTTGTTTTCCATTTCTAGCCCGGGATGCTCATGGCCTACATACTCTCAGAGCCAGTTTGTGTTTGATGTGTATGATGTTACTAATGATCGAGGCTTCTTCAACATCTGCCCCCTCCATTTTTTAAACAGTAATGCTAAATATTCATGGTACAAAAATTAGAAAATATGCTTAGGAATAAGGAAAGTAAATAAAAATATTTTTATTGTACTACTGAAGAATGCCCATCAATTGATTTTTGGTTTAGAGTTAAACAAGATATGTTTGGTTTAAATGCATTCTCCTTTAAGAAAACATAGCCATGTCTGTGACCTAATCTATATAGTGGATATGTTATAAATATAAAATATATATACATTTTGAATGTATATAAATATGTATGTGTGCTTATAAAAGCATGATTATAGCATTACTACTGTTTGGTAACCTTTTTCACTTATTACATTATGACATCTTTTAATGTTAATGAAGAATTATCTTTGTAATCATTTTTAATGGTTTCTTTAGTGTTTGTTTAGTATTTCAAAATCTGTTTCCCTATAGGGCTTAAACACAGTGCTTTGGATGCTCAGTAAATTTTTGGAGATTTTGAATCTTATAAATATGTAATGTTTTGAACTTAAACATCTTTAAAAATTAAAAAAATATTATTGTCATTTCACAAGTAGTTTTAGTTCACATGTATATGATTACTGTTGAGTTAAGCAATATTCCCAATAATGGCTTCAGATAAAAGATTTTCTCCATTTTATAAAAAGAAAGATTGAGGTATTGATGAATTAAATAATAAATAGAGTCACTTGGTGGGTGAATCAATGTTAGAGTTAGGGTTAGAATCCAAGCTAACTCCCAAGCTCTTGCTCTTCTAAATCATTATGCTATTTTGTCCTTCAGAGGAGAAAGAGTCCAGTGACCTCTTTAATTTACATTTTATTTATGTAGAATAAACTTGTAAGAATGAACTTTACATTTATGTCTTTCTGTGAATGTGCCCCTGGATTGACCAGGGGAGGTCAGTCAGCTAAATGAGTAATTTTTATGTGTATATATATATATTTTTTTTTATCTTTTTTCTTACAAGATTTATAGCAGCAGTTCAGATTGGGAACAGATAAGCTTTGTTTCTCTTTCTTATCTTTTCATTCTTACTCTTTATCCCATCTACTCTCCTTTGAATTGGTGCAGTTTAGGCCTTATATCCTCATCATTCTCCTTTAAGAAACTGTAGCCATGTCTGTGACCTAATCTATACAGTGGATGCGTTATTAATATCAAACATCTCTCCTTTTGGTCAGTAGAGGCCACTGTATGGTAAAGCTTTATCATAGAAAGAAAATAAATTGTTCAAGATTTACCTGATTAGTATTTTGGGAGGAGAAATACACACACACACACACACACACACACACACATGTATACGTATAAAATTATGCTTACTAGCAGTATTTTTCAGAACAGTTTTGTTAAAGTATAACTTACATACCATAAAAATCCACTCATTGTAAGTGTATATGACTTTTAGTAAATTTACAGGGTTGTACAACATCACTTATAAATCCAGTTTGAGAACATTTCTATAACTCCCTCCAAATTCCTGTCTTTTTGCAGTCAGTTCCTTTTTACTGCTTAGCCAGCCCACACTGACTTGCTGTTTATAGATTTGCTGTTTCTGAACATTTCCTATAAATGAAATTAAACAATATATAGTCTTTCATTTTCTTTTACTTCATCCATCATTTTGTAGCATGTGTCAGTAGTTCAGTTCCTTTTCATTGCTGAATAATATTCTATTATATAGATGTACCTCATACTTATCCACTCACCGGCCCAGGCATTTGGGTTGTTTTAAACAGCTTCCCTCATAGCTCAGTTGGTAAAGAATCCTGTCTGCAATGCAGGAGACCCCAGTTTGATTCCTGGGTCGGGAAGATCTGCTGGAGAAGGGATAGGCTACCCACTGCAGTATTCTTGGGCTTCCCTTGTGGCTCAGCTGCAATTGTGGCTCGCCTGCAATGCAGGAGACCTGGGTTCAATCCCTGGGTTGGGAAGATTCCCCTCGAGAAGGGAAAGGCTACCCACTCCAGTATTCTGTCTTGAAGAATTCCATGGACTGTATAGTCCATGGAGTCACAAAGAGTCAGACACGATTGAGTGACTTTCACTTTCAGACAGTTTTTGGCTATTATGAATAATGCTGCTGTGAATATTTTCATACACATATTTGTATAGATATATATTTTCATTTCTGTTGGGTTGATTCCCAAGAGTGGAATTGATTATTTCCTGGGTAGAGATTCCTGGTTGAAATTCATTTTCCCTTAGGATTTTGAAGTTATTGCTCCATCTTCTAAGATTACCATGGAGGATTTGATATTATTCTTTATTCTTAATCTTTTGTATTGACCCCTCCTCTTTCTGAAAGCTTTGGAATCAAATGGTCTCTTTCTCCGTAGTGTTCTGAAACTTCACAATGATCCTGGGTGGTCTGGTCATTTTTCATTCATCTTCCTGGATAGTTGATGGGCTCTTTGGGAATGTATATTACTTTTTTGATAGTTCTCAGTTTTCTCACTTCTCACATTCTGAAGGAAATATTAAATCTCTGATGTAAATCACCTCACATTTAGGGCCTTCTTATTCTTTCCTTTGTATTCCTTGACATATATGTGTAGATAGCTCAGTTGGTAAAGAATCCGCCTGCAATGCAGGAGACCCCAGTTGGATTCCTGGGCTGGGCAGATCCGCTGGAGAAAGGATAGGCTGCCCACTCCAGTGTTCGTGGGCTTCCCTTGTGGCTCAGCTGATAGAGAATCTGCCTGCAATGCAGTCGACCTGGGTTCGATTCCTGGGTTGGGAAGATCCCCTAGAGAAGGGAAAGGCTACCCACTCCAGTATTCTGGCCTGAAGAATTCCATGGAGTGTGTAGTCCATGGGGTTACAAAGAGTCGGACACGACTGAGTGACTTTCACTTTACATGCATAGGTATATAGTAAGGCGAGACTTCATTTGAAAAGATTATTGTGTGTATGGGGGGGACTAGTTTGTGGAGAGAGGCTTTTTTAGTAGTGGGAGGAGGAGTATTGCAATACTGACTGCTGTGACCAGAAGATTGCAAGTGTCTCCTTTCTATTGTAGTTTAATATTGTTGATATATCAAAATCTCAATTTCCAAGAGTTCACTCACGTTTTCTGTTTCTTTCTCATTCTTATTGCCCCTTCGGTCTTCCTCACTCTACCCCATTCTGTTCCCTTTCACCTGTTTCTCCCCCTTCCTTTCCTTCCTCTTTTCTCTCCTGCATTTTATCCCCTCCTCTTTTTCTCCCTTTCCAGGGCTTCTCCTCCTCCCCAACCCTTTCTTCCAGCATCCAGTTCTTGTTACATTGTTACAGCTTCTCTTATCAACGAGGACATGAATTTTGTTTATTTACTTTTCCATTTTTCCTGCACCTGCAGTCTCTGTTTCCCCCAAATTGTTTTCACCTGTTTTTGGTGTGGAGTGCTCTCTCTATATATCAAAGATATTTGTCTCCATTTGCTGCCCATTCGTGTTTATAGGCAAAGCTCTGTAAAGCTGATTGGAAGCTGTGTGTGCATGAGTGGGGCTGTGGACTATGGTGGGTTTTGCTATAGCGGGAGAGAGCAAGGAGCAGTGTTTTAGCCGAAGCCGAACGGTGAGAAGACTGGGGAGTGAAAGCAGCAAGCAAAAGCAAATTCTGTCCCTCCAGGAGCTCCTGTTTGTTATATGTCATTATTAGCTACGAGTCTGTTTTAATGCTCACCATTTTATATTCTGGCATTTCTGTGGTTAAAATGCTGTTGAGACATACTTTGTATCCATACACTATACTTTTACTGTCATTTCTTAAAAATATTATACTCATTTATGCCATTTCAGTTTTTGAATCTAAATTTGAAATATTAAGAGTTTTAATGAACTGTAAAGGTTGAAAAATTAATTAAAATAAATAGTATTTGTTTATGCCAACTCATTTGAAGGCCATCTATTCTTCAGTGTTGTGTAACTAACATACAAATGTTGCATCTTCAGCTTTTTGACATCTTTTGTTGTTGTTTTTATATTATCTCTCATAAGATACTGTTAAAATCTAAATTGAGGAGTTGGGATTCCCAAGATACTGATAAAAAAATGGTATAAAAGAAAATTTCTGTGCGTTAGAGGTTTATAGAACTCAGAAATTCTTTTTTATAATGCATGTTCTTGAAGTGGTATATCCCTAAGGGCATTAATGCTGCTTTTTCTTCTCTCATTTTCTCATTTTAGGGAAACTAAAACCAACAGTGGCATTCATGTCAGGAAAATTGAAGATTAAAGGAAACATGGCCCTGGCAATCAAATTGGAGAAGCTAATGAATCAGATGAACTCCAAGCTATAAAGAGAAAAGAAAATATGTTGACTGCTAAGCTCAAAAAGTAAAAGGGCTCAACAGTTAAAATTGAATGTTTCTTGTCATCCCTATTATATTACAAGGATATTCATGTTTGTTCTGGGGAAAAAAATAGAATTTCTGTATCTATAAGATTTGAAATTGTAATTAAAACAACTGTCCAAACAACCATAAGCATCATTAAGTAGTCCTGTATCTCATATACCATCATCTTCTAGGAAAAGTATTAGTGATCAGTCAGGGTCAGGCAGTAACATCAACTCTTTTCATATCTTCTTCCCATGTAAAATGAAACTAGTCTGTTTTAAAATTTTCAGTTTAGGATTGTATACTAATGATATTTTAGGTTTATCAATTTGTTTTAAAGAAGATCTTTTATAGTGCATTTTCAGAGAAATCATATAATAGACTACTTAAAATACCATTTGTGAAGATGAATTAAAAACATTTTTTCATGTTGTTAACTACATTTCTAAATGTAAGTTACCTATAGGAAAATATTATTGATATAATTCAACTAATTGCAATATAGGTCCTATTTTAAGTTATGTGAAGATATCCTAAAATAAAATAATTTCTTTCCTGAAGCATGCACTTGGTCACAGTGTTTTGAAATGAGAATATTAAAATAGATGGTTATGGGCTGAATGGTATGAGTTCAGTATATGACTTCATATACTGAAGTCCTAACCCTGGGAATCTTAGAATGTGACTGTGTTTGGAGACAGAGGCATTTAAACAAGTGATTAAGTTAAAACCAGGCTTTTGGGGTGTGTCATAATCCATTCTGACTGGTATCCGTATAAGAGGAAATTTGGACACAACGCAGACGCCAAGGAGGCACGGAGGAATGACCACGTGGGACGAGCAAGGTGGCAGGCATCTGCAAGCCTCGGAGGGAGGCCTAGGAGGAAACCAAAGCTACTGGTGCCTCGGGCTCAGATGAGTCTCCAGAAGCATAAGAAATTTCTGTTGCTTTAGCCACCCAGTTTGTGGCATTTTGATATTGTAGTTCTAGCAAAGTAATACAATAGTTCATTGGCATTTATGCTACAAACACAAGTTCCTGTGCCTGACACAGTGGAGGCCAAACAGACTGAAACATTGGCGTTTGGAGAAGACAAAGGTTTATTACAGGGCCAACCAAATGAAGAGAATGGGTGGCTCATGCTCAGAAAACCCAAACTCCCTGATTATCTTCATGGAGAATTTTTAAATGGCAAAATTTGAGGTGAGGGCCGCAGGGTGTGTGACTTCATTCTGATTAGTTGGTAGTGAGGTAACAGGGAGGTGTTTCAGGAACCTTGATCTCAGCCTAAAGTTAACCATCCTCCACCTGGCGGGGAGGTGGGGGGGGGGGGTGCCGGCTAAGTTCCTGCAGTAAAATCAAAGGTATTGTTACATATGTATCCCTTGAGGAGGAACCAGGACCCTGCCCCAAGGTTGCACTATTGCTTAATTTTTTAAGATTTTTTTTTAATGTGGACCATTTTTAAAGTCTTTATTGAATTTGTTACAATATTGCTTCTGGTATATGTTTTAGTTTTTTGGCCTCCAGGGATGTGGGATCTTAGCACCCCAACCAGGGATCAAATGTGAACTCCCTGCATTGGAAGTTGAAGTTCTAAGCCCTGGACCACCAGGCACTGTTGTTTCTTGATTCCTGCGCCTTGCCTCCCCTTCTCTGATTAGCAACCGTTTGAATCTGCCCGTTGTAATTCAGTAAAGGTCAAGGAGGCTGAATGAAGTCTATAGAACACAGGAAGGTTTTGTACCTGGGACAGTCACATAAGATCATGCTTTGTTTCATTTCTTTCTTTACAAAAGCAAAACTTATTTTTTAAATGCTCCTACTTTTTGTTGTTCACTGTTCAAACTCTTGTGACTATTTGCGACTGTGTACTGTGGACTGCAGCACACCAGGCTTCCCTGTCCTTCACTATCTCCCAGAGTTTGCTCAAACTCATACCCACTGAGTCAATGATGCCATCCAACTTCTCATCCTCTGTTGCCCCCTTCTCCTCCTGCCCTCAATCTTTCTCAGCATCAGGGTATTTTTCAGTGATGCTTGACGGAGGGATTGAACCCACGTCTCTTATATCTCCTGCATTGGCAGGTGGGTTTCTTTACCACTAGTGCCACCTAGGTTGCAAGGATGGGAGTCCTCATGATAAAGATTAGTGCCCTTATAAAAGAGACCCTAGAGAATGAGCTGATCCCTTTCACCAAGTGAGGACACAACAAGTGTTTGCATTTTCTTGAATTTTATTTTAATGGATTCATACAGTATATATTCTTTTCTGTTTGACTTCTTTCAATATGCACAACTACTTTGAGATTTATTCTTGTCATTATCTGTATCAATAGTTAATTCCTTCTTATTACTGCTAAATAGTTTGTTATTATAGGAATATACCACAATTTGTTTATCCATTTACCTGTTGATAGACATTTGGGTAGTTTCTAGCTTTTAGCTATTAAAAATAAAGCTGATATGAATATTCATGTACCGAGTCCTTGTATTCTCTTGGGTATGAAATGACTGGATCATATGGTATCCGTATATTGAACTTTCTAAGAAATTGCAGACTTTTTTCCAAATCGGTTGTACTATTTTTACATTTCAGTAGTGTATAGGATTTCATTCCTCCACATGCTCATCAACACTTGATGTATTCAGTCTTTAAAATTTTAGCCATTCTAATAAGTATGTATTGGTATCTCACTGTATTTTAACTTCAAAATCTCTGCTGCAATTGAGCATCTTTACTGTGTTTAGTTGCTCTGTCATGTTGGACTCTTTGTGACCCCATGGACTGTAGCCTACCAGGCTCCTCTGCCATGGGGATTCTCCAGGCAAGAATACTGGAGTGGGTTGCCATGCCCTCCTCCAGGGGATTTTCCCAACCCACGGATTGAACCCAGGTCTCCCGCATTGCAGAAATTCTTTACCATCTGAGCCACTTTACATGTGCTTATTTGACATGTGTATATCTTCTTGATGAAGTGTCTGCTCAGCTCTTTGCCCACATTATATTCCATTGTTTGTTTTTATTATTGAATTTTGGGAGCTCTCTATATATGTGAAGAACTGACTCATTGGAAAAGACCCTGATGCTGAGAAAGACTGAAGACGGGAGGAGAAGGGGACAACAGAGGATGAGATGGTTGGATGGCATCGCCCACTCGATGGACATGAGTTTAAGTAAACTCCGGGAGTTGGTGATGGACAGGGAAGCCTGGTGTGCTACAGTCCATGGGGTTGCAAAGGGTTGGACACTACTGAGCAACTAAACTGAACTGAACTGTACTGATATATATTCAGGATATATGTCATTTTCAGGTATTTGCAAATACTTTTGCCCTTTCAATAACTTGTTTTTTTATTCTCCTACCAGTGATACAACAACCAGGAGATGGCCAAAGATTTCTTAGATTTTCTTTCTCTTAACAAACTGCTTTCTGCTTTATTTCCTAACTTGACCTTTCCATGAACAGGTTCAGTTCAGTTCAGTCGCTCAGTTATGTCCGACTCTTTGTGACCCCATGAATTCCAGCACGCCAGGCCTCCCTGTCCATCACCAATTCCCAGAGCTTACTCAAACTCATGTCCATCAAGTGGGTGATGCCATCCAGCCATCTCATTCTCTGTTGTCCCCTTCTCCTCCTGCCCCCAATCCCTCCAGCATCAGGGTCTTTTCCAATGAGTCAAAAGGAATCGGCAAATACTTTGAGGTGAAATGGTATGTAGAATGATTGATTCCTTTTACTGTGATTGCCTTTCTTCTGGAATCTTAGCCTCTCAAGTCTAAGCTGCTCTGATAGACCTGATCTCCAAAATTTGTATCTCCAGACCAATCAGACTTTTGAAAGCACTAGGGTGCCTCTGTGTGATTTCTATACTTCTAGACACAAATCAACAAAGCTCTGAGAAGGAAGGGTGGCTGAAGATGGAGTATTCACTTCAGTGTGTTTCCCTTCTTGCTGGGTTCTTGGGACTCTCAACCCTTGGCTGCCTGAGTGGTTGCTATATAATGGATTTATACAGCCTTTTTTTTTTTTAATGCACGTTTTATAGGTTTTTTTTGTGGGAGAGTTACTTGGTTCAACCAAGTACCTCATCATAGCTGGAAGCCTGCATTATTTTAAAAAACTCATCAAGATGGAAATATCCTTGAAACAAGTGGGACTGCACTTAAAAAGTTCATTGTGATAAAAACAAATAATATAAAATTTACTCTTTTAACCATTTTAAGCATACAGTTCAGTGGTTTAATTATATTCACACTGTTGTATAACAGATTTCTAAAACTTTTTCATCTTGAAAAACTAAAACTCTGTACTCATGGGACAGTAACTTTCCATATTCCCCTCCTCGGTCTCTGGCATCCACCATAATACTCTGTTTCCATATTTTGACAATTCTAGGTACCTTATACAAGTGGAATCATACAGTATTTGTCCTTTTTGTGAATGGTTTATTTCATTTGGTGTAGTATTCTCAAGGTTTATCTATGCTGTAGCATGTGACAGGATTTCTTTTCTAAGGCTGAATAATGCTCTACCATATGTATATGCCACATTTTGTTTATCCATTCATCCATCCATGGACATTTTGGGCTGCTTCTACCTCTGGGCTGTTGTGAATAATGCTGCAGTGAACATGGGTTGCAAATACCTCTTCAAGGTCTTGCTTCAAATTCTTTTGAATATATACCCAGAGGTGGGAATGCTGGTTCACCTAGTAATTCCATTCTTAGTTGGTTTTTTTTTTTTTTTTTTGTAAGTTCCTTTTTGTGTGTCTTTTATTTATTTGGCTGCACCAGGTCTTAGTTGCAGCATGTGGAAATCTAGCTTCCCAACCAGGGATCGAACCCAGGGCCCCTGCACTGGGGGCATGGAGTCTGAGCCACTGGACCACCAGGGAAGCCCCCATTTTTAGTTTTTTGAGGAACTTCCCTAGTATTTTCTATTGTGGCTGCACACATTTTACATATCTACCAACAGTGCACAGGGTTTCAATTTTTCCACAGAATTATGTATTTGAAACAAGTGGCAATTAATCGGGGCTTCTTTGGACACATTATCAAAAATTTTTACAGATTTTTAAATTCAGCCTTGACCAGGAGGAATGTTGACAGACAAAGATGTTACAAATCCTTTTTTCTTTGTTCGGAAGTTACTCTTTTTCTGCTCATTCATATTCTTTCCCCTCACCTACCTCACGCTGGAGGGCCTGCGGCTTCCCTTTCACAGTTGGGATGAGGTCAATATGTGAGCACTACATACAGCTAACCAGATATGCTTTAAACGCTATTTATTATCATTAGTATTACTTTGGAGACAGTGCTGTAGGAAGAGGAAAGCACGGAGGCACACTACTTGGGATGAATCTGGGTTCCTCCAGCTACTCTGATCTTGGGCTGATTTCTAAGATCTCTGTGTCGCCTCTACAAAGCGGCAGTGCTAACCCCACCCACTTCGTAGCATCTTTAGGATTAAGTAAGTCAGTATTCGCTAAGCACTTACTGTGAACCCCAAGCACATAGTACGGGCCACGCTTGCTAGATAAAATAAAGGTGGAGGGCACCTGGTCCAGCCTTACCTCCCTGGTGCCCAGGTGTGTAGGTGGTGTTACTGTATGCTTCCCCGGTTTTAGTGTGTTTTAGGTGTTATTCAGAGATCCGGCTCCCTCCACGGGATGGGTGCGTGTGGTTGTAGTTGGATTAGAAATTTCCACCGCGCAGCGTGACTGCGGGTTGCACATCTGTCGATGGGAGGTATTCTTGCCAATGCCTGGGTGTAGGGGTGATTCCACTCAGCGCGTTAAAACAGGTGTCACACGCCTGACCAACGGAGTGTCTTGCAAGAAGGTCTGATCCTGGCTTTTAGGGTGCAGCTATCCAGGGCTCCGAGGGGCAGCGGAGACGGCTGGCCCGGGAATCGGGCCGGAAAGGGGTGCTGCCCACTTGAGAACGCAGTGGGGATCGTGGCTCCCACACCTGTCGGGCTGCGGAGACCGAGCTCGTGCGCGCGCGTGTGTGTGTAGCAGGAAGGTCGGTCCACACCGCCTCCGGGCAGCGACGGCCGTTCGCTCGGTGCGCGTCGTGGGAGGTGCCGTTACACACTTCCTGTGGGTCTCGCGGACCACGGCGCGTTTCCGGTGCCGGCTGGAGCCCGGGGTCCGAGCCCCCGCCCCGCGCGCCGGCCCCGCCCCGCCCGCGCCCCGCCCCCCGCCTGCCCGCCGCGCTCCGAGCCCGGCGCGCGGAGCCCGGGGCGCACGGAGCGGCGCGCGCCGGTCGGCCGAGTCAGGCTGGCGCCCCCCGCCCCCCGCCCCCCGCCCCGCTGTCCGTGGCGAGCCAGTGGCCTTCCCTGTTCCACTTGCCTTCGCTCCCCGACCCTGCGGCCGCGCTCCCTCCGTCCCTCCCCTCCGTCCCGCCCCGTCCAGCCCGCTCTGCCCGGCTCCCGCAGGCCCCCCTCGCTGCCCGCGTTCCTATGGACAGACGCACAGACACCTGCAGGTGGGTGAGAGCCCGTGCGCGGGGCGGGGACGAGCGCGCCGACGCCGCGCCCCGGGGTTGGCAGCCCCTTTGTGTGGGGGGCGGCCGCGCTGGAGTCCGCGCCGCCGCCCCCTCGGCGGCCTAGTGGTGACCCGGCTGAACCCTCCTTTTGTTCCTCTGCGGGGGTGGGGGGGCGGGGGCGTGGAAAGGCGAGAGTCAGGGCTGAGAGCCGGCGGCCGGACGTAGCCTGCGACGGGCTGGGGGCGCGGGAAGGGACCCCCGGCGACCGGGCGAGCGGCGGCTGCCGCCGCGGCTCTGGGCTGTCTCTCCGGGGCCGGCCCGCCGCCCGCTGTCTCCTGTCGCAGCGGCCGCGGGCGCGCTGCGAGTCTGGCTCGCCCGCTCCAGCTCTAGGGTCTGTTGGAGGTGGGCAGGAGGGCGGGAAGCGGAGAGAAAAGATCTGCTCTCTTAGTTTCCAAGTCTCGAGGAGGTTACGGGAGAGAGAGGGAGAGAGGTGTTTTCGGAGCTCTGCCCGACTTGTTTCCCTGACGCGAGGCTCGCCGAGGTGCGTTTTGGGGCGTGTGTGAAGGAACGTGCATCGCTTCGGTCCCTTATTTATTGTTTCTAACGGAGGAGGGCTTTCTCCGAAGGGCTCTTCCGCCCCCCCACCCGGTCTGAGGCTGCGCACAGTGGTTTGTGTTTGTTATCAAATACATCGAGAGATATAGATTTCCCTCGGTAGGAGGAGGTTGGGCTGGCGAAAATCAAATCAAAATCAAAGAACGTTTTGTAGTTTTCTGGTAGTTTTCCGTTTTTCTTTTTCGTTTTTTAAAGATTAAGTGGGGACTTAAAGGCAAGAAATAAAAGATGACTATGGCTGTGATTTTACATATATGTATATTTGTATATATAGAACTTTAGGGGGTAAAGTTTTGTTATTTCCCAGACCCCTTAGGATTAACATGACAGAATCTTCTACCTATTAAATAGTTAACAAGCAAATCAGGTAGAGACAGCTTCCCTAGTGGAGGTTAGTTAAACTGGAGTGCGATAAACAATTACCTAGCTTTCTGTTCAGGCTAAAATCTTTATTTTCGCTGATTTAAGGTATGAGACCTTTCACGACATATGGGGAGAACATGAATGTTAGAAGTAATCATTTCCCCCTGTGATTGTGCTTTCCCTGTTTTATTAGCTGTATTTCTTTATTCTCTGTTTATAACCTATTGGGTTGTGTATGGTGGATAAAATTTTTGAAAAGTAACGTGGGTGATATTTCTGATTTATATTAATTATCTCAGTTTTTTATGGGCGGTTGCTATGTATTTTTAGATACTCAAATAATAAAGTTGAGTGAGCGCCCAGAAAATTAATTGTTCAGATTTTTAACGCAGGTATGGATTTATATCTTTGCATTAACCTCCGTCTATCTGCTCATTTCTGGAGGGTTTTTTTTTTTTTTTTTTTGCCTATTGTGTGAGAATCCTTATTGACAAACTTAAATCTGATGATTACCAAGGAGATTAAGGAAAAAAAGTTTTGTGGACACTTAGTTATATCTACAGCTATTTGTAGGAAATGGAATCTTTCTTAAAAAATAGAAAGTACTGTCATCCAAACATGAAGAAATATTATGATGGTGGAAAAATATTTGCTATTTAAATTTTTTAAAATAAGATGTAGAAATTCGTCAGAAAACAATATACAGTAGCGTCAATTAGGCAAACTGATTTTTGTCATTATAAAGAGGAGACAATTTAAGTATGCCTAAAATGGTGATCTTTTTCTAGGAGAAAAAGGTATCCTAGATTCTTGTCCTAGTTTTACATTAACAGATTAATATTATTGCATGCTTAATTTTGTATATGCCTGGAGTGTACATTATTGTACTCTTAAAACTTAGAAGAGGCTACATCTAACAAAGACCATGCCAGCCTCTTTGATTAGTTTCTGCTTTGACTTCTGTTCTAGATTAAAGAAATGAATTTAAACTCTGCACAGGGCTCCCTACCAGGCACTGGTAAAACCCTTGAGCAGGATGCTTCTTCCTTTTTTAATAATGATGGCCCAGAGAGGTTAAGTATGGAAATTTGTTCAGGTTTTATCATGAATGATGGAATGGAGTTCTAAAACACTCCTACGGTTTTATCTCTCAGATACACAACTCCTCATCAGCTCTTCCCAGTATTAAGAAAGGTAAGCTAACACATTGTATTGGTTTACAGGGCTCTCAGTTGTAGCGTTAAGGTTTAACAAAGAGTCACTGTGTAAACTAAACATTAAGTGTGGCCTTGCATTGAGAATTGCTTGGCAGAGTTACAGCTGTGTCTTAACAGTTTTCTGGGATTGGCATGGAGTATTTATTTGGGCTGGATAAAAGGAAACACTTAGATTTTTTGTCTGTTTTTGTTTTTTTGACTGTGATATGTAGATATTATTTCTATTAAATATTTTGCTTTTTTATAATTAACAGTACTGTTTCAGTTAATCAGAGCGTTCCAAATAATCTTTCATATTTCAACTAATTTTTCTTCTGGTATATTGGTGTTTAGGAAGATGTAAATTATTTCTCACATCTCATGGTTTAAACTTTTTCTGCTGCTTTTGATATTATGACAAATGCTACTTCCAGAAATTGTGAATTTGTGCAAATCTGGATTTTAAATGTAGCTGAGTAGTAGGATCTGATATTTATCAGTTTTCTTTTTTTTTTTCAAACACTAAGTTGTACATGGTTAAATTTGAAAGGCTTTAAAATCCATAGGCTTTTCTAGTCTTTTCCTGTTTGTGAGTTACTAGTGTGTTGCCATTAAAGGACACTCAGAATGGCCACTTTATGTTACCTGGAACCCGCAAATGACTAGTATTATCATTAGTAATCACCATGGGGAAAGCTGCAAAGTTAACAATTATATTCTTTATATAAGTTCTGTGACTTTCAGGTTCTTTTCAGGCAGCCTTTTGTAGATTGGGGAAGCAGGCCTGACTGTCAGAGGTGCGGACAGTGACCTCTCATTCCAGCCTTTATCAGCCTGCATTGTCTAAGAGCAGTACATACCCTTGCTTCTCATGGAAGGATGCAGGATTCATTCTTGGATTAATATTCTGCTACCAGATGTATGAGGCTGGCTCTAAAGAAGCTTTTTCTCTTAAATACTGTCAAAAATAGAGAAGCTGAAGACTGGAGAGAAGCCATTTATTTTGAACAGTTTTATTTTTTGACAGTTTGTGTTTGTAAAGAAACCTGCTCATAATATTTACTGAAGAGATCCACATAGTTGCCTGAAGAAACCCCACAGGTTTTCTTTTTTGCCTTGGAAAAAGTTCCCATAGAGCTTAACCCTTCTGTGGTACTTCTTGACTTAGCTTCTGATTAGTTGATTTATGGGCTTTATTTACCAGCATGATTGGAGAATTCTTTAACTAGACTGAGATTGCACTCCGCCTGTGCGCTCTTCTGTTTCCTAGGTAACAAATGCACTGCATAGATTCCATAATGAGGACTCTGGTTGGCTAGTTACAGTGTAAATTCTGTTGTTTGGTAAAGCTTAGTCTCAAATTCAAATAAAGGTCAAGAAGCTAAAAGTACTGAAAATGCAGATTTTTGCATTTCATTTTGTAGCAAGTGTCAACAAAGTTTAATACCCTTTTCTAGAGGAAGGCAGTTTATGCAGCATTATTCGGGTTTGTCTTGCACAGTCTCACACTTAAACACTTAAAGAGACTTTTGAGTATTGCATATTGGTAAAACCAGTGTCTCTAGTGACAAAGAAGATGTATTTCAGAAACACTTTATCACACTTAATATAGAAAGCAAAGGGATGTGGTCTAGGACATCAGCAATTGGTCCTTTTGTAATGAAAGAAAAGTAGCATCAAAAGATGTCTCAAAAGATAAATTGTGCAACATTATGTGAAAAAGAACTTTTAAAAACTTCTAAGAAGGCATTAAATCATTTAAGAAACTTTTTAAAACATTAAAAGTCTTACCATAAAATGGTGGATTTTTCTCCTAGCTTTTCCCCCCCTCTGATCTGCTTGAATGTGGACTGGCCCGGCATCAGGGAGCAGGTCTTCAGGTTGAAGAATAGCTTTCCCTTCCACCTTACTTTCTTCTTGGGCCTCTGTATGCTGGGCAAGAATTAGTGCAATTGCTAGTAATTGTTACCTGTTTGTGTTTTTTTGTTTTGCTTTTTTTTAAAAAAACCCACACAAATAGCTTCCAAAGAATTCCATAAATTGTTGTTTTTGTTCAGTGGCTAAGGCGTGTCTAACTCTTTGAGGCCCCATGGACTGTAGCACACCAGTCTCCCCTGTCCTTCACTGTCTCCCAGAGTTTGCTCAGATTCATGTCGATTGAGTTGGTGATGCTATATAACCATCTCATCCTCTGCTGTCTATCTTTTAATACCCATTGCAAGTATCTTTTAATTTCATGCCTGAAAATTGATTTTTATTTGTTAATCATCAAAGATTCCATTAGCTGAAATTTAAAAAAACATTTCTTTTGAATTCTGTAGAATTATCCAGAGTTGCCCCCATTGGGCTTCCCTGATAGCTCAGTTGGTAAAGAATCTGCCTGCAATGCATGAGACCCCGGTTCAATTCCTGGGTTGGGAAGATCCACTGGAGAAGGGATAGGCTAACCACTCCAGTATTCTTGGGCTCCCCTTGTGGCTCAGCAAGTAAAGAATCCTCCTGCAATGCAGGAGACCTGGGTTCAATCCCTAGGTTGGGAAGATACCCTGGAGAAGGGAAAGGCTACACACCCCAGTATGGAAACCTTGAAAGACTTTTTAAAATAGGGCTTCCCTCATAGCTCAGTCGGTGGTAAAGAATCTGCCTACAGTGCAGGAGACCCAGTTTCTATCCCTGGGTCAGGAAGATCCCCTGGAGAAGGAATTGACAACCCACTCCAGTATTCTTGCCTGGAAAATCCCATGGACAGAGGAGCCTGGTAGACTACAGTCCATGGGGTCGCAGAGTCAGGCACGACTGAGCAACTGACACTTCACTTCACCCTCCCTTGCTTGGCTGAATTGTTTTTGGATTATTTTATTTATGTTTTTACTTAATTCAGATTTCAGGAATAGGACACATCTTGGTTGGATTTGTCTGTCTCTTGGTTTTTTTCAAAACTGACCCTTTAACCTTTTCTGTCCTCTTCTAATTGCCAGTGTCACATCCCTTCACTTTTCCCTTGCCAATATCTTCCCTGTTTTCCCTTGTAAATACTTGCTGGTTAAACATTTTTATTGCTGTATATAAGCCATAGTCACCACATAGAAAAAGCTCTACTTTGCTGTTTTGAGGCTTCATACTTACTGGATTATTATCAATATCTGTGAACTCTTACCCAACTAAGACACTCTTTTCTCTCTCCAGCCTGTATTCGTTTGCAAGGGCTGCTGAAACAAAGTAAGACAGACTGGGTCACTTAAACAACAAAAATTTGTTCATTTTTTATAGTTCTGAACGCTTTTAAGTCCCAGATCAAAATGTTGGCCACGTTGGATTCTTCTAAGGCCTCTCCCTTTGGCTAGTAGATACCTGTTTTCCTAGGATATCTTCACATGGTCCTTCCTATGTGCCTCTCTGTGTCCTAATCTCCTCTCTTCTGATGAGACATCATTCTGTATCCTTGGGACTCACCTAAATGACCTCATTTTATCTTAATGCCC